GCAGCTTTTCCAGAGTGCACACACAATTCCCCAGGCAGAGGATGAGCAGAGCACGGTGACTTTCAGCCGGGACTCGTTGCTTTTTTCCATTGCACAGAGTTAAAAACACCACCTCTGCCAGCTGCCCGGGGAATTTGATGTTCAGTGCCAATTAATTTTTGTAATAGGAGCAGGGATTTATCCCCTTGGCTCCCCCAGGCACCTTCAGTCTCAGACTCAAAGGTTGGGTTGGAGTCTTTCATTTTCCAGTGGCCTTTTCCTGAAGAGCAGCAGTGCCACGGTGAGGATGGGGACTGGGCTGGGGAAGGTGGCAGCTTTGGGGCAGGCAACTCCCAAATTTTCCATTGTAAACCCTTCAGATGTGGGTCCAGCAAGCCCTGGCTGCTCCCTGCTCCCCTCACACCCTCAGGTCACTGTGCCTTCATCCGCTCGAGGAAACCATGCCAAGATCTGAGCCTGGCACTCTCACTTTGCATCCCATCCCCCAGGTGTGTGTGGGGCAGGGGGAGCTCCTTTTGTAGCTGCTTTTTGTGTGATCCCAGGGTAGGTTTGTGCAGGGGTGGGGTGACCTGAGCTGTGTGTGATCCTACCAGTGCTTTAAGCAGCCAGAAACGTGGTTCTTCCCCTACCTCCGAGCTCTCAATGCTGCTAAAAATCTCTGCCATTCGTCCCCGTGCTCCAGCCCCTCTCTCAGACTGGCTCTGGCTCTGTTTGCAAGATATCCACGTTGTTCTGAAGCATGCACCTCTCTCTGTATAGTCCCAATCTTCTGATTTTATGGAATACTTATGCCTGTTTGCATTACGGTCCAAATAAAAAAGTGAACTAAAAGCTGGCAGCTCTTCTCTCCTCCCTGGGTTTTTAACACCAGAAGGTGCTCGAGGTCTCTGCCGGTGCCTTGGCCTCGCTCTGCTCTGCCACCTGCAATGCCAGGGTGCCACAAATAGCGGTGACAATCAGCAGCACCCCTTCACCTGCCAGACACACACAGAGCCTCGTGAGGTGGCCTGAGTCACAGCACTCGTGTGTGAAAAACACCTTCACCCTCCTGGGAACGGCCAAAAAGTTTAATAAAGGACAGTAGGGGACAATGAACACAGAGCAAAGGTTATCAGGGCCAGGTGCATCTTGGCACTGAACCAAGAATACCCCTTAAACACCTTTTAATTACATCAGACTGTTGCATGTTCATAAACAATTATGCGTAGTAAACTTTTCCCATATCAATTTATATGTTCCAAGAATTGTTTAGCCTGGCTCCTCCTTGGATCTGCCTTTTTAGAGCATGCCCATTCCTTGGTTGTGGTTTTAGCCTTTTTTTATCACCTCCAGTTTGTGGCTTCTCCTCGATTCCACCTTTTCAGAGCATGCACATTCTTTGGTTGTGTTTTTAGTCCTTTTTTATCACCACCAGCTTTTGGGCCTTGCTCCACACTGCCTTCAGAGGGTGAGTGCTGATAATGGAATATCAATAGCAGGGTCCTCATCCTGTGTTCACTGGGTGTTATCCCATCCCAGCAGGCATTTCAACACAAGCACACTCATATCAGCTACTTCACTGAGCTTAACTAACACCAGAAATAAAAACTATATCTTTATTAAAAAGTTACTTTAGCACCACATATATAAAAATCCATTTTAATATTTGCAAAAAGCCAGTATTATAATATGTATGTATAACACACAGATCCTGTCATTTATCCTGTGTCCTTGGGGGCTGGCTGTGTGCAAAGGGTGAATTTTGGAGCTTTGAGAACACAGAAAAAGCAGTCCAGGCAGGAGCTAAGAGGCCTGGAAATGAGGAAGAAATGAGGAAAAAAAATGAGAAAGAAATGAGGAAGAAATGAGGAAGCAGCAGGGCAAGGAGGCAGAAACATGGACATGGCTTTTTCCATGGGAAAATGATTTTCCCATATAAAGGAAAAGGGGACTTATTAAAAAAGAGATTTTTTACATGGGCAGGAGTGGCTTCCCACTGGCAGAGAGCAGGGTTAGGTGGGACAGGGGGAAGGAATTGTTCCCTGGGAGGGTGGGCAGGCCCTGGCACAGGATATTGATACTCATTGATCCACTTCTGGTATTTCTACCTATTGATGAGGTCCCCTCTGTGCACCCTTTAGGTACTGATACACATTGATAAATCCCCTTTTGGTACCTCCTTTCAGATATTTTTACACATTAATATTTTCCCTCTTGCACCCCTTTTAGGTACTGATATGTTGGAACCTTAGCTGCTGAGAATTTTAGATTTTCTGTGCTGACAGGCACTGACCCTCAAGAGAACACTGCATTTGACCTGAGGCTGTGGAGAAGGCTTCCAAAATTGAATGACAAAACTAAGATTACAAGTGTGGAGTTTAAATAGAAGTGTGAAATATCACATAGTGGAAAACTTAGAGTTTAAGGTTTTAGAATATAGTAATATATTATATATATTATATATATTATATATATTATATATATTATATATATTATATATATTATATATTATACATATAATTATATAATAATTATATAATAATACATAATGTATATAATGTTTATAATAATATTATATGTTTAATTTATATCTATATATAAAAACAAGATAAAGGTTTTAGGGTGGAAGCTAGTCCTTCTTATTTACCTTCTTCACAAATTTAAGTAGTATTGTGCAATTAGATAAAAAAAGTCCACATTACAGAACACAGGTAATCAGTTATTAAGTTAAAAATAAAAATAATTTAAGTGTCATTTCTTAATTAGACAGTTTATCCTTAAGAGACCTTATACACATTGATAAGTCTCCTTTTGGTTTTTTTTGAGATATTTTTACATTGATATGTTCCCTCTGTGCACTCCCTTTTAGGTATTGATACCCATTGATAAGGTTCCCTTTGGAACCTGATAGGATCCTCCTTTTGGCACCCCTTTTTCAATATTGATACATTGTGATGAGTCTCCTTTGGGCACCACCTCTTAGGTATTGATACACATTAGTTATTGATTACATAAGGTCCCCTTTGGGCACCCCTTTTCACTATTGATACACATTGATGAGGCCCCTTTTTGACACCCTTTTTTTGCTATTGATACACATTGATAGATCTCCTTTTTGGAATCTCCTTTATACACCTTGAATAGGTCCCCCCTGTGCACCCTATTTTCACTATTGGTACACATCGATGAGGTCCCCTTTTGGCACCCCCTTTCCAATATTGATCACATTGATGAGGCCCCTTTTGGGCAACCCTTTTCTGATATTGATCACACTGATTGGTTCCCTTTTTGGCCCCCATTTCCAATATTGATCATACTGATACAGTCCCTTTTTGGCCCTCTGTTCCCAATACTGATACACATTTATGAGATCCCTTTTTGGCACCCTGTTTCTGATATTGATCACACTGATTCGGTCCCTTTTTGGCTCCAATTTCCAATACTGATCACACTGATGCAATCCCTTTTTGGCACTCCGTGTCCAATATTGATCACATTGATGCGGTCCCTTTCTGGCCACTGTTTCCAATATTGATCACATTGATGTATTGGCTCTTTCTGGCCGCCATTCCCAATACTGATTGCACTCATGTGGTCCCTTTTTGGCACCCCCTTTCCAGTATTGATCACATTGATGAGGTCCCTTTTTGGCACTCCGTTTCCAATACTGATCACATTGATCCCTTTCTGGCTGCTGTTTCCAATACTGATCACACCAATGTGGTCCCTTTTTGGCACTTCCTTTCCAATATTGATTACACTGATCCCTTTCTGGCAGCCATTTCCAATATAAATCACACTGATCCCTTTCTGGCCCCCGTTTCTGATATTGATCCACATTGATGTATCAGCCGTTTCTGGCCGCCGTGTCCAATATTGATCACACTGATGTGGTACCTTTTTGGCACTCCCTTTCCAATACTGATCACATTGATGTGGCCCCTCTCTGGCCCCCATTCCCAATACTGATCACTCCAATGCAGCCCCTTTCTGGCTGCCGTGTCCAATATTGATCACATGGAGTGCCAAAAAGGGATTGCATCAGTGTCCAATATTGATCACATTGATCCCTTTTTGGCCACTGTTTCCAATATTAATCACACTGATACAGTCCCTTTTTAGCCCCCATTTCTGATATTGATACATATTGATGTATCAGCCCTTTCTGGCCACCGTGTCCAATACTGATCACATCAATGTGATCCCTTTTTGGCACCCCCTTTCCAATACTGATCACATTGATCAGGTCCCATTTTTGGCACTCCTTTCCCGATACTGATCACACATCAGTGGCTGCTGTTTCTGATATTGATCTGGCTGCTGTTTCTGATATTGATCACATTGATGTATTGGCCTTTTCTGGCCCCCATTCCTGACATGGATCATCCTGATGCAGTCCCTTTCTGGCCACCGTATCCAATACTGATCACACCTATGTGGTCCCTTTTCGGCACTCTATGTCTAATATTGATACACATTGATGAGGTCCCTTTTTGGCACTCCTTTCCCAATACTGATCACACTGATACGGTCCCTTTCTGTCTGCCGTGTCCAGTATTGATCACACCCATATGATCCTTTTTTGGCACTCCATGTCCAATACCGATCACACCAATGCGGTCCCTTTTTGGCACTCCGTTTCCAATATTGATCACACTGATCCCTCTCTGACACTCCGTTTCCAATATTGATACACATAGATCCCTTTTTGGCACTCCGTGTCCAATATTGATCACATTGATCCCTTTTTGGCACTCCGTGTCCAATACTGATCACACCAATGCGATCCCTTTTTGGCACTCCGTGTCCAATATAGATCACGGCGATGCGGTCCCTCTGTGCCCGCCGTTCCCGGTCCCTCTGTGCCCCCCGTGCCCTTTCCGTCCCCGCCGCTCCCGTCACTTGTCAGACGCTCCCTTGCCCGCTCTGCGCTCGCCGCCGCGGCCGCACTTGGCGGACGCTCCCCGGGCCGCCCCTCCCCGGAAGCGCCGGCGGCCCCGGAGCGCAGGTAAACAGCCAAGATGGCGGCGGAGGCCGCGGGCCTGGCGGGGCCCGGCACCGGTAGCGGCAGCGGGACGGGCCTGACGGACCTGCCGGGCGAGCTGCTGGAGCTCATCCTCTGCTGCGACGTGCTGGGCGCCGCCGACATCGGCCGCGTGTCCTGCACCTGCCGCCGGCTGCGCGAGGCGTGCCAGCCCCGCGGCAAGGTGTGGCGGGAGCGCTTCCGCCTCAGGTGGGCAGCGCCGCTCGGCCCGGCCCGCCCGGGCTCGGACGGGAGGGAGCGGGAGAGAACGGGCACCGGGGATGGCCGGGCCGGCCTGGGAGGGTCGCGTGGGGCGGTGGAAGCGCCGCCGTTACCGCCCGATCCCTTCGCGGTGAGCTCAGCCCGAGCCGGCGGTGGCACCGTGTGGGCTCCGGGCAGTGCGGGGGGGAGGGAGCTGTAACGCCGACATTTCACCCCGTGCCACGGGCAGGGACACCGGGTACTGCGGGTGGAAGGGAGCTGTGAAGGCAACATTTCACCCCGTGCCGCGGGCAGAGGCACCAAGCCCTGTGCCAGGCTGCTCCAGGGTTATCCAGCCTGGCCTGGAGCACCTGTGGGGATGGAGCGGCCACGGCTGGGCGGCTCCGAGGGTCCTGCAGGGCTCCCTGCTCTTCTAAATCCCCTGGGAGGGACCAGACTGAGCCTGCTGCTCGCAGGGGATCCCCCTTGGCCATGGATCAGGTTTGTGGCCCTTCCCACACCAGAGCCCGTGGATCCCCTGCACTCCTAAACCAGCCCGGATTGGCCTCCCTGAGCCCTCCAAAACTCCCAAAGCAGCAGCCAAAACCCATCTCAGGCCTGATGCTGGACAGCAGAGAGGCGTTTCTGCCTGAGGGTTTGGGGAGAGCTGTTCTCACAGATGCCCAAGTCCTTGGGATGGGGTTTTGCTGCTGTTCTGTTTCCCCAGGGGCTGTGCTCCATGGCACTGTCCATATTTTGGGATGAAGGATGAGTGTGACACTGTGGTGGGGGCAGCTCCCCTCATTCCTGAGGCTGTCCAGGCTCATGTCTTACCTGCTTTTGTCTGTGCTGGCACAGGATAAGCACCAGAATTGCTTTATCTCGCTGCCAGTTGGCTCCTGAAATTCAGCTCAGCCCAAATGCGGGGTTTGTCCCCTTTCTCCCCTTTTCACAGGGGTGAAAAAGCTGCTGAGGAATCACAGCTTCCCCCCTGCCCCAAGCCATGGCTCTGGGGCTGACTTTCAGCAGTTGAGTGGCTGCAGTTCCCGCAAATGTCAGCCTGGTTGGAATCCAGCAGCTGGAATGGGATGTGGTGGGTGATTGGCACACATTTCTCTCCTCCTCTCTTCTTGATAATGGAATTTTTGGCAGGAGGCTTCACCCTGACCTTGCCATCCTGGCTGGATTCCGTTGTGAGCAATGGCACTTTCATCTTTCCAAAATTCCCACTGTCCTTCCAAGCCATGAAATTCTCCTTTCTCACCCCGAAATAAAGGACTGTGATGGTTATTGTGAGGTGGCTGCATTTCAGCAGTAGCTGAAAGGCCAGGGATTCATCAGGAGAGAGGTTGTTATGTAATGTGAGGTTGTTTGACTTTATTTTGTGGAGACAACTGCAGGGGAGTTTTATTATTAACCAGCAGTAAATACCTTCCAGGTGTGATTTGGACACTGGTTGTAATTACTATACATTAGGAGTGATTTCTATATTTGGCAAATTAAATATATAAATATATATAACCTGAAAAGAACCTAAGACAAAGGAAAATGTTTTGTATAAACCAGTAATAATGAACAGCGTTTCAAAATGTGGAATAAATCCCCCAGCAAATGAAAAGAAACCCCTTTCTCTCAGCTTCATTTCCAAAATATTTCCATCTGTGCTGATTCTTGCTCATGTTTCTCACACAAGTGATCCTGGTGTCTTCACAGCAGCAGGAATTGCAGTGCTGGCACCTATTTTATGGCACAAAGCTGTGTTGTGCCAGCACACACCCACTTTATTCAGAGAGGTGCTGCTAACAGCCCCCAAAGCATGCCCTGAAGTTGGATTTTCTGCTGAACCTTGAAATTCTGGATAAGCTGTGAAGTGTGTGCTCTTTGAGGCTCAGTAAAGGAGGTGTGAGGTGTTTTTATTTTCAAATAATTATTTCTTGTCTCTTTTCAAACTGCAGAAGCATTTAGCTGTCACAATTTGACTCCAGGTTGTGTTTTCCTCCCCTAGATGTTGCCACCAGCAAGGGCAGTGGAGGGAGCTGTGTTTTTAATGAGCTCCCCGAGGTGGTAGGAAGAACACAGGACAGAGAATTCCCCTTCTGTTCAGTGCCAGGTTGGCTTCCTTCTTTGTGGTAAACTCTTTTAATTATAAAACTGAAGCATTTAGGATGTTTAGGCATTGAAATCCTGCAGTGGGAGCCTCTGAGGGCTTCAGGAGAGCTTGCTTTTAAATAATCATTAATGCACAGCTGCAGATGGGGAGTTGTGCTTTGATGTCTGAGGTAATTTAATCCAATTGAAAGCTGGGCAGTGTCTGGGCTCTGTCTCAGCTCCTCAAATCGTTCTGGAGGTTCTCAGGGAGGTGAAATATTAATGCTGCTGTTGTTTTTTGTGTGTGTGTGTGTGCAGGTGGCCATCCCTGCTGAAGTACTACAGCCACAGTGACAGTGTCAGCTGGCTGGAGGAGTACAAGGCACGGCACAACGCGGGCCTGGAGGCACAGAGGATTGTGGCCTCCTTCTCCAAAAGGTTCTTCTCAGAGCATGTGAGTCCTCCTCTCTTTGTGTGTGTGTGTGTGCAGCAGCCCTGCCACCTGTCCAGTAGAATCATTAATAAAATCATTAATTGGATCATTAAGTTGGAAGAGACCTCCAGGATCAAGTATTGAACTATGTTCCTCAGCACCACATCTTCACATTTTCTGAACCCTTCAATGAACCTTTGAAAAGCCAGAGCTGACATTCCTAAATTCCCTCAGGAAAACAAATCCTGCCCCTCTGCAAGGAGAAGCTGAGAGCAGCACAGTGCAGGTGTCTGTAGGGCTGCTTGTGCTGCTCTCACAGCTTTACATGGACAGAAACCAGAGCTCAGAGAGCTGAGGTTTCTCACAGCACCCTGGGATGCCATCTCAAGGACACAAAGAACATTACTACTATTATTATTATTGTTATTGTTATTATTCTTTCAGAAATGTTGGGGCTTGCAAATGATGCAGCCACAAGAGCCCATGTTCTACTTGTGTTGTTCTCACAGCTTTATCTGCTGGACAGAAACCAGGGCTCAGAGAGGCTGAGGTTTCTCACAGCACCCTGGGATGCCATCTCAAGGACACAAAGAACATCATCATTATCATTATTATTATTATTATTACTATTCCAGAAATGTTGGGGCTTGCAAATGATGCAGCCACAAGAGCCTATGTTGTACCCTTGGTCTGCTCCCAGGAGGGTTTAGGCTGAGCCCAGCACTGGTCCTTGCACCAACCCAACAGCAGCTGCTGCCAGGAGATTTTCCTTCCAAGGGTCCAGAAAACTGAATTTCTTTGAAGGACAGCAGTTGCAGCACTTCCCTAAACAGCTCGTTCCAGCCCTTTCAATTAATCAATTTTTCCTAATATCCAACCTAAACCTCCCCAGGAGCAGCATGGGGCTGTTTCCTCAGCACTGCCTGAGCATTCACATCACCAGGGTGTATTCTTCTCTAAAAATCCTTAAACCATTCAGAAGTTGTTTATTTCTTAGAGGGGTTTTCCCTTTTTAAAAATGTTTTTATCTAGTATTTATTATTATTTTTATTAGGAAAAGGTTCTTCTTCCCTCAGAGGGTGCTGAGCACTGCAAAGGCTCCCCAGGGCAGTGGGACAGTCAGAGGCTGCCAGAGCTCCAGGAGTGTTTGTACAGCACTGCCAAGGATGTGATGGGATTTTGGGATGTCTGTGCAGGGTCAGGAGGTGAATTGAATGATTCTTGATAGCTTGGAACATTCCATGATTCCATAATAATTCAAAGATTCACCATCGTTGATTGTGATCAGTTCTTTTCATTAGTTTCTCCTGCCCCTCTCTCCATATCACCTCAGCTGTGCACTCAGAGATTTTTATATTTCCTGACTTTGTGTAAAAAGCTGAAACACAGCCAGAAGGGGAGAGGGTTCCAAATCCAGAGGTGTGTGGAGTGCACACACCCTGGGGTTGCATTCAGCCCTGAAAGCTCTTTGCTTTGTGCTGGGAGCTCAGCCCTGGCTCTGGGAATTCTGAAGGCCACAGGGTTTTGTTGACACAAAGCACAGCTGCTGTTCTCACTGCAGACCTTGTGCAAGGACGAGTTCTGAGAGCTGTCACAAGCCCTTTGAGTTGAGGAGCAAAGCACAACAGGGCCTCTCAGTTGCAAAGTGTGTTTTTGAAGTTCTCCAGCCAGCCATGACCCTGAAATGCTTCTGTGTTCAGTGGGGAGAAGGTGAAAATGTGGTGTCTCACGCTGACGTGCACATGAGGCAGGAATTACTTGGCTCTTTGTGGGTTTTGGCAAGCTGTACAGTTGGGTCAGCCTGGAATTGTATGAAATCAATATAAATACTGCCTGTAACTTTGGCTGAATTCAAAGTCCCACACAGGAGCCACTAAACAGCCTCCCTTTTATGGCTCCTGTGCAGAAGGAAGGCAGCAGGGCCAGGTGGGTGTTTGGTGTCTCCTGGCTGCTCTGTTCTGCAGCTGCCAGACATTTATCCATGGAGAATTGTCACAGCATTAACTGGGAGAAGCAGCTCCTGGATTCCTCCTGTTTTGATCACATATGCAAAGACCATGGAGAGACCATTAAGAAATACCCAAAGGCCTCATGATGAGAACCATCTCCTGTGGGACCAGAAACTGCAGCTTGATTCCCTGCTCAGAGCTGAGAGGAGAAGGCTTTCAACCAATCCATGAGCCCATATCCTGTAGTGAAAAACTTGAAAGCCTATATTTTTTTTACAGTTCAGCCAAAGTTGAAAAAGTAATTCTGAACTCTGGAAGAAAATAGCAGTTCTGAATATAGATGCAGAAGTGGTTGTTGCAAAAAATAAAGGCTCCTGCTCTTCATTCCTCCACCCAGGATGAATCTCCTGCACAAGGGGGTGTATGGAAGGGTTCAGTCAACCACAAGCAGAAGTTGATTCCACCTTAAAATCACTTGCAGCTTGTGCCCACCCTGCATAATTGTGATTCTGCTGATCCTGAACTCAGCATCACAGCCCTAAATGCAGTAGAGTTGGGCTGAAATTGCTAAGAATGTTCCTGGGGTTCTCAATGGATTCATAAATCCATGAGCACAAGCATCACAGCCCTAAATGCTGTAGAATTGGGCTGAAATTCCTAAGAATGTTCCTGGGGTTCTCATAAATCCATGAGTACAGACTGGGAGTATTTGGGGAGCATGAGGTTTTTAAGGTCTTTAATAAATTGGGAAAAAAATGGATTAATTTGTTTTTGAGCCTTTTTCTGAAGTTATGGGAGAAGCTGTTGTGCTGTGCATGACTCCTTGTCTGCTTTGGCAGGTGCCCTGTGATGGATTCAGTGACATTGAGACCCTGGGCTGCCCCAGCCATTTCTTTGAGGATGAGCTGATGTGTATCCTCAACATGGAAGGAAGGTAAGAGAGAGCTGAGAAATTGCAGAGATTTCCCTCTTTTACGACTTCAAGGAGAAAAACACCCTGGTTAATGCCTGACCTCATCTTCTGCCCTTGGTCACTCATTAAACAACACCCCAGGCTTGCTGAGACCTGGTTTCACAGCAGATTGAGTATTTCCAGAGAAAACCATGGAAACTTTGTCCCACAAGAGGAGATCCTCTGGCTTTGTGGTGCTTTTTGTTGTTTGACAGCTCGTGGCATCTCTTGGGACATACCCCATGCACCCTCAGCTCTGCCTAAGCAGTTCCCATCCTCTTGTTCCTTTTTGATTTAAGCCTGGATCAGTTTGCTGAACTGATTTGCAGGATTAGGCCAGAGCACCAGAGGGAAGCAGGAATCCTTCAGCATTGCCACCTGTACCCTGAAAGTCCAGCTTTTTCTTTCCTTTTCTGAGCTGGGGTAGGTTGGTCCAATTTTTGTCCCCAGAGAAGCAACTGACTTGAATTCAGCCACTGCAAAATTTGCAGTTCTATAAATTATTCAGCCAGGTGGTAAATAAAACTCGTGGGTTTTATCTGCCTGGGTAATCTCATCACCTTGATTAACACTGGGCAAGATGAGTATGTTTATTTGAAGGTTTTATTTGCTTTATTTGAAGGTTTTTCTGCTGGTACCACCTACCCAGGCTGGGTTTGATGTGATACAAAGCTGTGATAAATGTCCTTAATGGGGCCTAATAGCCTTGATTAGAGGGACTGTTAATAGGGCTTGAAAAAACCCAACTGGAATGGCAATCATCTCATTTTTGCCTTTTCCCATCCATTTTATTGCCTTCTCTAGTTGAGCTGGGCCTGAGCATCTCTCATTTGACAACTGGTTAAAAAGCTTTTGAGGCTTTGCACTGGCCAAATGCCTCCCCATAAAGCAGAATTGATGCTAATTACACCCTGATTAAGCTGTAGCCAGTGCCATTCAGGAGCATTAGGCTAAATCATCTCCCTGGAAGATATCCCAATAAAGCAGTTGTCCCTATTGAGGATCCCAGTTTATTGGAAGAAGATAAAATATGATGAGTTTTGATTGCCCTGCTGTCCAGGAGGATGGAGAGGCTTTAGAAAGTGCTGGGGCTTTGCTGCAAAAAGTTTTGGAATTGTGTCATCTACAGAGCAACTGTTGATCTCCTCCTGCCTTTTCAGAGCTACATAGTTGCTTTTCCTCTGGGGAATTTTGTTTTTTCTTCTGAATACTATTGGACTGACATTCATGTCCCTCATCAATCCATTTTTAATGCTGAGAGGATGCTTTAGGAGTGGCTCTGGAGAGATGCAGTCAGACAGAGGGTAATGTTTTATGAATAAAGTACAGGATTTTAATCAGATATTCCTGAGCTCCTTTAATTAGGATCTGTGTTTCCCATGTTTCCCATGATAGTGTATCTCCTCAAAAGGATGTATTGGTGATGGGAGATGATAGGAGCAATGTTTTGCAAGTTGTGTGTGGCTTTTTTGTGATAAATTCCTCTCAGCATTCCCCTTCTGGTTTGACTTTCAGTGACAGTGCTTGTTGAGAAAAACAATAACCCAAACTGTAAACTTGTATTAAAACTTAAACCACATTTTCCAACTTAACCCAACTGTGTTCACCCTTCAAATACCTGTTTAGAGAAATGCTTCCTTTTGTGTTTAACTGTGCAGGAAAGGTCTCACCTGGAAGTACTATGCAAAGAAAATTCTCTATTTCCTACGGCAGCAGAACATACTGAAGAACCTGAAGGAGTATCTGCAGCGCCCCACAGAGCGACAATCCTTCCTGGAGGGTGAGTGCTTGGCACAGAGCCTCTAATGCCAGCTCTCCATCCTGCTTTGACTTGTAAGGAGCCTGCCTTGCTCAGATTCCAGCAGTGACTCAGAGTTCAGGTTGGATTTTGGATGTGTCTGGAATCCTTCCCATCCCCGTTGCATCAAAATGTCAGGATGGCATCAGGTGCTGTCAGTGCTGTGTGCTTGAAAAATCACCCCTGGACAGCTGAGCTGAAGGCAGAAAATGGTAAAACACTGGAATCTTGAACAAGGTGCTGAGAAAATGAGCTGGAGCTCGGCATCCTCATTACTGACATGGCTGCTGTGGCCCCTGGGCTGATTCCCAGTCAGTTCCCTGCTCTCCCCCTTCCCAGGAGCTCCTCAGGGAGCAAGCAGAGGGAATTGTTGTAGCCTGAGCACTGGGAGTGTCTCAAGAGCTGAGTGCTGGACTTTGGTGGGAAACAAATCCAAGTCCAGTCACATGGTGAGAGGGCACTTACACCTGCTGAGAAAGAAAAAGCTCTTTCTTCTGCTTCTTCTGCTCTTCATGTCCTCAGTCTGGTGGATTATTCTCCTTCTGTCTTCTGAATGGCTCAGAGGCTGCCTGGGACTATAGAAGAGTCCCTTCCTCTTGGTCCACACTCCAAAATATCCCTGAAAGAGGACAAAAGAGGCTGTAACACCAAAGCTGGTTCTTGTTAATGCAATAGGCTTTGAAGAAGGAGCTGTTAGGGAAAGAAGGGAAAGCAAATTTGGCATTTTCTACAAAAAAACAAATTAATTATGAGACTTAGTCATGTGGGTCACAAATATGTGTGGTTTGTCTGCCATGAACATGCCTTTGAAGCACCAGCAGGAAGTGTTTTGGGATTTCAGCACAGGGAACACTTTGGGAGGACAAGAAGGAGACACAGGGCCCTGCTGAATTCCTTGATTTACAGAGCAGTCATGGACATGCTGACAGAGCCTTGTAGGAGGCTGGAAGAGGTATGGTCCATGCAAAATCCTTGCAGCTGATTCCAAAGATTGAAAAGAGGAAGCTTTGGAAAGAGCAGTGGTACCAGGGAGAAGGCTCTGTGAAAAGGAAATATTTTCCTGGAGGGGCTTGGGCAGGAGGAATACAAAAGCTTGTCCTGTTCTGTGTTGTGTTAGGAAGATGGAGAGCAGGTGTGGAAGAGAAAAATGAATGTAGCTGATAAGGAAATGATGAACAAGGATGATATGGAGGATGTGACAGGGAGCAATCAGAAGTGAGGCAGTTTGAGTGAAGCTGGGATTGTTTCAGGCTCTGAATAAAAATCTCTGTACGTTGGGGCTGTGGTGTGAGCACAAAGCTGGTCAAGCCTGACCCAGCAGCACTCCTGCTCAAGGTACAGAAGCCTTTCAGCATGGTGGAGAGGGCAATACTGAGTTCAGCTGGTAATTTCTCATGTCAGCTCACTCTGTGCATTTTGTGTATCCAGGAGATGACTGCAGGTTCAGACACAGAGCTCTGCTGTTCTGCTGCAGCCGCTCGCTGCATGTCTGGAATGCAGAGCAGGCTAAACCAAGCCAAGAAAAAACTGAAGTCCTGTTTCTTATGCAGTTTGTTTTTTCCAGGTGCTGTTTTGATTGATCAATACTGTAACCCCCTGTCAGACATCTGCCTGAAGAGTGTCCAGGCTCAGGTGGACGATATCACGGACAAAGTGCGCAAAGTGCTGCGGACCAAGAACCCCAGGCACCCCAGCTTGGCTTCCAAGGCAGGTACTGTACAGAAATGTGCCTTCCTGCAGCGCCTTCCTGCCCCTCTGCACAGCTGGAACAGCTGGGGAGTTGTGGCAGCTTAAAGAGCTGTTGTTTTTATCCCCTGGCAAACAGAATTGTGACATTTACTGAAGCCATCATTCAAGAAACAGCTGTTCAAGCCCAGGGTTCAGTCCATCTGATGCTGAAAGAATTGGGAGGGGAATTCTATTTTTTTCCCATTTGTTTCTGGAATCTTATTAGTCCTGTTATCTACAGCTGAGCTGTGAGACTGGGAAACAACCTCTTTACTGCCAATCTCAGAAAATAATCAGTAGAAAGGTGCATGTTTATCATCTCCAAAGGTCAGGCAGCATCTTGCTCCATGGTTTTACAAACACTGAGTAATTTCTGGCTTCCAAAGAGAGACTGAGCCTGCCCATGTGAAGATTTCATTGCATAAAGGTTGAGTGCTCTTGTTTCCTCAGTCTTTATTTCACTGCATGTGTTTGCAGGAGAGGTTCTCATTCCAGAAGTGGAACTTCAGAGGCAGGTGCTCGATGCCATGAACTGTGTCCTGTATGAGCAGCTGAAATACAAAGGAAATGAGCTGGATTACTACAATTCCCTGAATTCCTACATTCACCAGGTATGTGTGTGTCAGGCAAATCTGGGAGGCTGCAAGGCTTGAGACACTTCATTTGTCTGAATGTAGCCAGACAAGTCATTCTCTGTGAAGAACAACTCTTAAATAAATATGTTACCCTTCAGTGCATATTCTGTCAAGTTGCATTTTCAGTTGTGAAATCAACCCTTGAAATTCATGTTTTCCTTAAATCCTGCCTGTGTTTTTGTCACATTTTTTCCCCCAGGTTTTGATCCGCAGGACAGGAATTCCCATCAGTTTGTCTGTGCTTTATTTAACAATTGCCAGGCAGCTGGGAGTCAAACTGGAGCCTGTCAACTTTCCCAGCCATTTCCTGCTGAGGTGGTGTCAGGGGAAAGAAGGGTGAGTGACCTGCTGAACTCTGAAATTGTGCCCACAGTGACAAAAACCAGAGCTTATTTACAGCTCCAGACCTGTGTGAGAGTGTTTAATTGTGTTCCATCTGCCTGTACAGAGGGAAAGATCAGATCTTCAGGAAAGTTTTCCTAGAACTCAGCTGCTGTGGCTGAATAATAACAGATTTCCTGCTCTAGACCTAGAGGAGAATGTTTCATTATTTTCCACATGGAATTATAACCTGTACAGAGGGAAAAACCAGATCTTTAGGAAAGTTTTCCTGAAATTTAGTTCTGCTGCTGAATAATAACAGATTTCCTGAAATAATAATACCCATGAGGTGATGTGGGAATTATGGAAAAGAGAGAAGGTACCAGGTAGTCTCTGTTCAGGAGGGAGCTGAGAAATGAAGATTTTCCTAGAACTCAGTTCTGCTGCTGCTGAATGGTAACAGATTTCCTGCTCTAGGCCTAGAGGAGAATGTTTAATTATTTTCCACATGGAATTATAACCTACGCAGAGGGCAAAAACATGTTTAGGAAAGTTTTCCTAGAACTCAGTTCTGGTGCTGCTGAATGGTAACAGATTTCCTGAAATAATAGTACCCATGAGGTGAGAATTATGGAAAAGGGGAAAGGCACCAGGTAGTCTCTGTTTAGGAAGGAGCTGAGAAATTAAAATCTTTAGGAAAGTTTTCCTAGAACTCAGCCACTGCTGAATGGTAACAGATTTCCTGCTCTAGACCTAGAGGAGAATGTTTAATTATTTTCCACATGAAATTATAACCTATACAGAGGGAAAAACCAGATCTTTAGGAAAGTTTTCCTGAAATTTAGTTCTGCTGCTGAATAATAACAGATTTCCTGAAATAATAATACCCATGAGGTGATGTGAGAATTATGGAAAAGAGAGAAGGTACCAGGTAGTCTCTGTTTAGGAAGGACCTGAGAATGAAGATTTTTAGGAAAGCTTTCCTGAAATTCAGTTCTGCTGCTGCTGCTGAATAGTAACAGATTTCCTGCTCTAGACCTAGAGGAGAATGTTTAATTATTTTCCATGTGGAATTGTAACCTATACAGAGGGAAAAGCCAGATTTTTAGGAAGGTTTTCCTAGGATTCAGTTCTGCTGCTGCTGAATGGTAACAGATTTCCTGCTCTAGACCTAGAGGAGAATGTTTAATTATTTTCCACATGAAATTATAACCTATATAGAGGGAAAAAAACAGATCTTTAGGAAAGTTTTCCTAGAATTCAGTTCTGCTGCTGCTGCATAATAACAGATTTCCTAAAATAATAATACCCATGAGGTGATGTGAGAATTATGGAGAAGAGGGAAGGTACCAGATAGTCTCTGTTTAGGAAGGAGCTGAGAAATGAAGATGTTTAGGAAAGCTTTCCTGAAAATCAGTTCTGCTGCTGAATAATAACAGATTTCCTGCTCTAGACCTAGAGGAGAATGTTTAATTATTTTCCATCTGGAATTATAACCTATACAGAGGGAAAAGCCAGATTTTTAGGAAAGTTTTCCTAGAACTCAATTCTGCTGCTGCTGAATCGTAACAAATTTCTTGCTCTAGACCTAGAGGAGAATGTTTAATTATTTTCCATCTGGAATTATAACCTATACAAAGGGAAAAACCAGATCTTTAGGAAAGTTTTCCTAGAACTGCTGGATAATAACAGATTTCCTGAAATAATAATACCCATGAGGTGATGTGAGAATTATGGAAAAGAGGAAAGGTACCAGGTAGTCTCTGTTTAGGAAGGAGCTGAGAAATTAAGATTTTCCTAGAACTCAATTATGTTGCTGCTGAATGTTAACAAATTTCTTGCTCTAGACCTAGAGGAGAATGTTTATTTTTCACATGGAATTAAAACCTATACAAAGGGGAAAAACAGATATTTCGGATAGTTTTCCTAGAACTGCTGGATAATAACAGATTTTCTGAAATAATAATACCCATGAGGTGATGTGAGAATTATGGAAAAGAGAGAAGGTACCAGGTAGTCTCTGTTCAGGAGGGGGCTGAGGAATGAAGGACACGGGTTGGAAGTGCTGAGGGAAGAACAGAAACAGCAAACCCTGCTTTACCACGAGGCCCTGCTCACAGTTTGTGCTCTGTGTTGCCTCCTCAGGAGCACAGATATTTTTGACTACACCTACATTGATGCCTTTGGGAAGGGGAAGCAGCTGACAGTGAAGGAGTGCGAGTACCTGATCGGGCACCACGTGACAGAGGAGTTCTATGGGGTGGTGACCTCCAAGGAGGTCCTGCAGCGCATGGTGGGGAACCTCCTGAACCTTGGCAAGAGGTGAGCTGGGGATCCATACCCTGGGGAAAAGGAGCTGGGGTGCATTATCTGCATGTCCTTCCAAAAGGAGTCACTCATCTCATGAGGTCCTGAAAATTCCATGTGTCACAAGGCATCTTAATCACCTGCATTGAGGGGAAACAAAAATATTTAGTGAAATGAGTTCCTCTCAGGAAAATAGACAAGATGTTTTATTTTTTCTGTGAAAAGCTGATAGGGACTGTCCACCTTGAAAACAGAGCCTTTTTCTGTCATGTGGCAGGCACAACCCCCATGTTCAAATGAGCATTTTCAGAGATCCTCTTGGTGTGTAGAACATCAAGTTTTGATTCCAAATCCTCCTGATAATCCCTTTCCTGAATATCCACAGACAGACTCACAGGAGTGAAAGGATTGTTGTAGGTGTCAGGGGAACAAAAGACTTGGAGAGGGAATTCTCTGACCCAGGAGAAGAGCAGTGGGTGGGAGGGCAGAGTTCAGTGATCAGGTGTGGAGTGCTTTTCCTTGCAGCAGGCTGATGTGACAATCCCTGCTGGAGTCACTGCTGTGAGCATGCTGGACCTGCAGCACCATTGTGGGGACTCCCCCTGTCCCTGGGAGCTCTGGGGACAGGGTTGCAGAGCCTCACAGGTGAATTTCCTTTCTGCTGGCAGAGAGAGCACTGACCAGTCCTACCAGCTCCTGAGGGACTCCTTGGACCTGTACCTGGCCATGTATCCAGACAATGTGCAGCACCTCATGCTCCAGGCCAGGTTGTACTTCCACCTGGGAATCTGGCCAGAAAAGGTACCTGGGCACTCAGGGCAATGCTCTGGGGAAGGCTGAGCACTATCAACACTGGGTTATTGATTTTTTTGGGCTATGTCAGCCTGCATTACAGTCTGCCACGATTTGTTTCTGTAATAAATGCAGTTGGAGGAGTTCACATTGCAGGGAATCAATTTGAAGCAGGGAGAGTGGATGATTCTTGGCTGTTTGTCCTGGGGGAGGCTTTGGAGCAGCTTTGAGTCATAATTTATGATTTACAGCTTGTCTTGTAACCAACACCATGGACTGTGAGTTCTTAGAGCATCCTGTGCCTAAATTGTGGTAAAACTCCTGCTGGGCTCCTAGAAAAAGAACAATTACCTTCTCAGAAAACTTTAGAAAGTTATCTTTTATAAATAAAACCAAAGCTGTGCTCCCAACCTTGTCCACACAGTCTGTGGCTCTTGTGAAAAAGCAACTTGATACTCCTGTCCTTGGAATTCCTTTTCCTTCAGGGTAACAATTGGAGTTCCTTTTCCTTCAGGATAACAATTCCTGTTATCTTGGTAATGTGGGAAGGAAAGTGCTGAGATTTACAGGTTGTCTGGATCATCCAAGGCTTTCACTGAATCAGGGAAGAGCCTGTAACTCAAAAACATCTGATTTTTTTAGTGTGTCACTGCAGCACAGAGGTTTTTCCTACTCAGAATTCCCTGTGCTGGTTCAGTGGAGCCTGTACCAATTCCATCTGTGAGGTTTGGGAAGGGGACAGGAATATTGGCTGGACAGCTGAGCAGAAACAAAGCTCTTCCCACCAAATCAACTGGAACACAGGATGCTGGAGAAGCTTCCTCTTTCCCTTTGAAGAGCAAACTGTGCTAAGCTTGACCTTCCTTTCTTAAGGCAGCAAATTTTAGGACCAGCACCAAAAAATTGTGTATAAGAGGGACTCAGTGAGCTGCCTATAAATATGGAACACTGAAAGGTCTTCCTGCCCCTTCCTGGCACTCAGGGCAGTTTGGAGAGCACCAGATTTGGATTTGCAGCCCCCCAGAACACAGAACCCAATGCCAGGGCTGAGTTTTACTGAGTTTTCCTGAGCTCTCTGCACCAGCTGCAATGGAAATGAGCAAATTTGGATTTTTCAGGACTGTATCCAGTCGTTCCAGGCTGTCAGGCAGGATTGCAGCTAAGCAGAGAGAATGCTGTGTCTGACAGGACACAATGTACCAGCTTTGACAGGAGCTGCCAGATTTATGGATGGCTTGGAAATCTAAAAAGTCCTGCAGAGCTACACTTCATGTTGCCCCAAATATTTGTAAATAACAGTAAATAAAACTCCCAAAAATCTCTGGCAGCTGTGGTTACTCCTTCCTATAGGATTTTTCAGGATTTTCACATCCTTCTTAATTCTTAATAGAATTAAAGTGGCCAAGAAGCCTGAGCTGTGTTTCTTCTCATGAATTACTCACTTGTCCTTTATTTAAATTGATTTTCCTCAATTTTTGGCTGCTGTTCATGCTGAACAGCCTGAGATTTCCATTCCTCTTCTGCTGCTGCTCTGAACTTAATGACCAAACCTATGATCAAGGAGACAATCCTTTTGCCAGGTGCCAAAATGTGGCAGATTTTGGGACTTGATGTATTTGATGTTGAGACACATACCTGTCTTTTCTCATCATGTTTACATAACAGGTTGGGGTTTTTTCCTTGCTTTTACCAAAAAATTTAAATTTGCTTTGCCTGCATCTGACAAACTCAGCAGCAGGTGCTCTGATGTTGTGCCAGAGGGTGTTGGGAGGCTGGAATTGTGGATGTGCAGACCTTGCTTTGTGTTTTTTAGTCATCCTGAGACAAGCAGCTTTTCTGTCTTGTTCCATGGGGAAGCATCATGGAGGTTATTTCCACTTCCTCCTGTGCTGCCCTATTTTTGCTCCTCACAGACATGCTGAGAAGCTCTTTTAAGTTAAAATATTAGTTCTCAGGAGCACCAGAAGTCACCTGGAATCACTTCCCACCAGCATTTTTGGGACATTGGGAACTCATGACCAGAAACTTTGAGAGGTGCTCTGTGGGCACTAAAGAGGATATGATGAACTCGTGGGGCTGAGTTTTAAGGAGCTGCTGAGCTCTCCAGTGCCTTTGCTTGAAGCTGGGAGCTTTACAAAGAGAAAAGGAGTAAGAACAGTCTGTGTGCAGGCTGAGCATGAAGCTGTGGCAGAGAGCGTGTGGAAGAGGTTGTGGCAGATCTCAGGGCACTCACATGCAGCAATACATCTGTGTGTGTTTATGTCTGGGTCTGAAAAGAGAGCTGTCTGCTGAGGAAGGCAGGAGCCTCCCTTGAAATGGAAAATAAAAACCCCCTCCCTACAAATTGTTATAATTTTGAAATTTAGGGGCTCTCAGGCAAAGATATGGGAATAGGAATAACAATTCTTTACTAGAAAAACTAAAAATACAAATGCAATAGTATGAAAAAAAGGAAAACAAACCACTGCCAGAGTGAGACCATGCCCTGCCCCCTGTGTGTCAGGGGGTGTCCCAGCCCCATCCCATGGGGGCTCAGCCCTCCTGCAGTGCCAGCTGTGGCTCTGCTGCAGCAGGGATCCTGCACAAGGGGGGAGTTTTCCTCTGCAGCTCCAGGGCTGCTGCAGATGGGCCTGGGCTCCCTCTGGCAGTGCAGGGCAGCAGAAAGCTGCTCCTCTGGCAATGCAGGGGGCAAAGGCTGCTGTGCTGTGCCAGGCTCAGATTGGATCCAGGGAGGAATGCTTGGCTCCTCCCCTGGGCGGAGCATCTCCCCATGGGATGCTGGGATGGGATCAGCCCTGCAGGGACACTCAGTGGCCATGGACAGAAGATAATTAATAATTAATGACCCATGAACAGAAGAGATCTGGAGGGAGGATTGGCTGTGGGAGAGATAAAGAAAAAACTGCCCAGTGAACAGCAGAGAACTGCCCCAGCTCTGACAGATGGCAATAAAATACACACCCAGCTAAATCTTTCCACCTAAGCCAGTTTATAAGTTATGCTGCTGCAGGGAGATGTTCTGACCCTGTTTTTGCTGTGGTTTGGAAGGTCCTGGACATCCTGCAGCACATCCAGGCCCTGGACCCGTCCCAGCATGGAGCTGTGGGGTACCTGGTGCAGCACACCCTGGAGCACATCGAGCGGCGCAAGGAGGAGCTGGGCCCCGAGGTCAAGCACCGCTCGGATGAGAAGCACAAGGAGGTTTGCTTCTCCATTGGGCTCATCATGAAACACAAGAGGTGAGCTGGGAGCATTCCCCAGATCAACTCTGTAGCAGCAGAGCAGAAGGGTTTGAGCTGACAGCACTGGGATGTGGTTAGTGCCAAGGAGGAGTGGGAAATGCCAGGCACATGCATCTGTCCCGTGCAGGAAAATGGGGGAGGCTCTGGGAGTGCCTGGAGAGAGCAAATGTTTGCACTGCAGAGAGCCTGACTTGTCTGAGTCATCCTCTGTCACACAGGTAACATCCCACAGCACAGAGCTCTCCAGGAAACAGCAGCAATCACTTAATGAGGGACTGTGCCACAGAGTCAACTTCAGAATCGATTCTGATATTCCCAGGACAGTTTGTGGATGTTTCCCTGCACTCTCATTCCCTGTTCTGCCTGCACTGTGTTGCTTTGGCCACTCCTCTGACTCCTCAAGACATCCAGAGCATATTTGAGGGGTATCAGCAGTGATATTTACAGCACCTCACACTTAACCCCAGGAATATTCTGTAAATAGTGATGGCTTTGTTCTCAGTGTTGGGGTTGCCATGTCTGTGTGATGAGCACAGAAGTAGTTGCACAGCCCAGCAGGGTGGTTGATCCTTCCTTATTTCTTCCTTCCTCTTCTGGCTGCTGACTTCCAGGCTCTTTGCCATTCTCTTTTCTTGCTCACATTTGGTTTTCCTTTGTCTTCAGCTGTTTATTCCTGTCTGTTTATCCAGTCATTCAAAGCCACTTCCCTCCACCTCAAAATACAAACACAAAGTCTTTCTGAATTGTTTTTTTCTCCCTCTTGCTCCTCTCCTCCTTGTGCCAGCTCTCAGGAGGTTCCTATCCTGTTTGTGCTCTGTTAATCTTGAGGAAAAAGAGCTGGCTCTGGAGTCCCCACAGCCTGTGTGTGCAATTTCTTGACTCAGGTATGGCTACAACTGTGTGATTTATGGCTGGGACCCTGCCTGCATGATGGGCCACGAGTGGATCCGGAACATGAACGTGCACAGCCTCCCCCACGGCCCCCACCAGCCCTTCTACAACGTCCTGGTGGAGGATGGCTCCTGCAGATATGCTGCCCAAGGTGAGCAGGGGCTCCTGTGGGCACACTCTGCCCACATCAGGACAAAAGGATGCTTCAGTGATTAATTAAGTGTGGTTAATGAAGCTTGTAAAGGTGGAGGTAGGACAGAAATGATCCTGAGTCATGGCCTGCTCTGTTTGCTCTCCATGAAGTCAGCGCTGCTGGGATGGCCATGAAAACTCACTCTGGTGTGGTCTCCTCTTGCCCCAGGAGGGTTTTGGACACTCTGATGGTGTGAACCTTGATTGCTGCTTTGGGAGAAATAATTCAGCCTCTGCTGGAGGCTGAAGGTCAATCAGCAGCTCCCAACAGCTGTGCCTTGCACAGGACCTGGAAATGGATTTAGTGAGGGGCTGCTGGTCAGGACATGGTTCTGGCCACTGTCACATGCCAGGATCCCAGGGGACACAGGTAACCTGGCTGTGAGTGCCACCTTTAACCAGAACAAAAAGGAATGTCTCTTCACAAGTGCAGGGAGATGTAGAAATCTCAATGTCACATGTGCTTTATGCAACAAACCATAAGAGGAAACTCTTGTCTGGTGGTCAGAGTGTGTGGTTGAGACACAGGAAGAACTGTTGAACTGAGCTTCTGAAGAAAATTACAAAAGAGAAGCACATGTGTGACTCTGTACATTGGAAAAATGTTCATTTGCCTCATGTTTGTGTTCCCCCTGTGACAGGGAGGGGGGATAATCACCCAGGCAAGGCAGCTGCACAGCTGTGTTTGGCTAAGGGAAGATGTGGAAGCTGCTGGAGGGAAAATGCTGACCAAAATGCCCTTTCCCTGGGTGCTCCCTCATGTTCTGTGCCTTGAGTCTTGAGTGTGACAAGAGGTGCTTTTACAGGCAGGGACACTCCTCTCTCTGTAGATCTAAAGTGCAGGTGTTTCCCACTGTCCTGAAATTGGCTTTTTTATATTCAGAAGTCCAAAAAGATGAAGTGGCAAATTCTGATGGCTCAGATCAGGCAGGGCTTGGCCTCAGAGAGTCTTAAACTCATGTGCCATGAGTTGATATTAAAATGTGCATCTTGGTAATTACCTAATCAGGTAATTGTCCCCAGTGCTGCTGGGGCTGAGTCATCACTTATCTTGTGTCTAATGATGTTTAAACAAACAGAACCCTGTCTGGTCCCACAGTTCTTGCAGGGTAGGCTGACACTGTTACCTCTGTGTAGGAGACACTGCTATCACTGCATCTCTGTGGCCTGCAAGAGTTCTGATACTGCTGGGGAGAAGTGAAGGGTTTGTTCTTGCTGCTATTGATATCCCTTCTAAAACATCCTCAGATCATTTGGGAAGGATTATTTCATATCCTCCTGACCTGACTCTGGGGAGGGAGGGAGAGATTTTGCTGAAAGAATCCTAAACAAATCCTCATGTGGAGTTTAATTTAACCAGCTCAGAAATAACCCCAAGCTTATTATAGATAAATGTACCTCAGTTTGAGGCCTTCCTGTAAATCTGTGGGTTGAGTGCAGTTAATTCCAAACTGCTGTGTTCTTCAGGGAGTTTGGTACCTGTCCACTCTTGTCTATGTTTTGTTTGCTTTGTGACAGCACAAGAGGGAGATCTGTGGCTCAAAACTGCTTGTCAGCACCTTTGGGAGGCTCCCACCTTGTGTTGAACTCGCCTGTGTCAGCCTGTTCCCCTGCCAGCTGCTGTTCCATCCCTGCAGCTTCATCCCTGCTGCTCCATTTGTGCAGGTCTCCATCCCTGCAGCAGCTCTCCATCCCTGCAGCTCCATCCTGCAGCTCCTGAGCACAGCTCATCCCTGCAGCTCTCCATTCGTGCAGCTCCATCCCTGCAGCTCCATCCGTGCAGCAGCTCCATCCCTGCAGCTCTCCGTCCCTGCAGCTCCTGAGCACAGCTCCATCCCTGCAGCTCTCCATGCCTGCAGCTCCATCCCTGCAGCTCCCCATCCCTGCAGCTCCCCATCCCTGCAGCTCTCCATGCCTGCAGCTCCATCCCTGCAGCTCCCCATCCCTGCAGCTCCCCATCCCTGCAGCTCTCCATCGCTGCAGCAGCTCCATCGCTGCAGCAGCTCCATCCCTGCAGCAGCTCCATCCCTGCAGCTCCATTTCTGCAGCTCTCCATCCCTGCAGCAGCTCCATCCCTGCAGCCTCATCCCTGCATCTCTCCATGCCTGCAGCTCCATCCCTGCAGCTCCCCATCCCTGCAGCCCCATCCCTGCAGCAGCCCCATCCCTGCAGCAGCTCCATCCCTGCAGCTCCATCCCTGCAGCAGCTCCATCCCTGCAGCAGCTCCATCCCTGCAGCCCCATCCCTGCAGCAGCCCCATCCCTGCAGCAGCTCCATCCCTGCAGCAGCTCCATCCCTGCAGCCTCATCCCTGCAGCCCCATCCCTGCAGCAGCTCCATCCCTGCAGCAGCCCCATCCCTGCAGCCCCATCCCTGCAGCAGCTCCATCCCTGCAGCAGCTCCATCCCTGCAGCTCCATCCCTGCAGCCCCATCCCTGCAGCTCCATCCCTGCAGCCTCATCCCTGCAGCTCTCCATCCCTGCAGCTCTCCATCCCTGCAGCAGCTCCATCCCTGCAGCAGCTCCATCCCTGCAGCAGCTCCATCCCTGCAGCTCCATCCCTGCAGTTCTGAGCACAGCTCCCAGCTCAGCCATGCTGCTGCAGAGCACTCAGCAGTGCAAATTGTTTTTCCGCAGTGGTGCAGTATCCAGAAAGGTCCTTTGCAAGCCTCTAGGACTGCACCAAGCTGCTGAGGCATGGAAAGCTCTGGTGCTGCTGGCTGCACACCCTGGCATGCAGCAGCTTCAAAGAGCCTGCATGGATTAATAGGAATTCTCTGTTCCCACTAATGAACTGGATTTCAGAGGCAGATTATTCCTGAATGACGTTCCCTGCACCCCAGCTCGTTCTGCCCTGCCCAAAGCCAATCTTTGATCCTGATGCAGCTTTTTTTTCCCTAGCTAATACTACCTGTTTTATCTGGCAGTGTGCTGGAAAAAAATGACATCATTTGGGGAGTGCTGCAGGGCTCCAGCCTGGGGGATTTACTCCCAGTCCCTGCTCTGCACTGACACTGCAGACCAGCCCTTGGGGTTCAGTGTTCAGGGGCCACCTTTGGGGTTCAGTGTTCAGGGGTCACCTTTGGGGTTCATGTTCAGGGTTAACCTTTGGGGTTCAGGGGTCACCTTTGGGGTTCAGTGGTTTTTAACTCTTGTGCCTAATCAGGTTATCTGGAGGAAAGGAGCTGCTGTGGGAGATATTAAATGTGTCCTTCTTAGGGTTTTTCACTGGGGAACTTTGGATTTAGGGAAGTTTGTTTTGCTGGAGGCACATGCTGGGCTTTGGCATGGTGGAAACACAGGCTGAGGGAGGAAGGTGGGCTCACCTTGGAGCATTTGAGGGGGATCTCTCCTAAAACAGATCCCTCCCAGGGCTGTGAGGGATTGAGGGTGCAGAGCTCACTGCAGCAGCTTCTCCCCAGATTTACAGCCCAGTCCTGTGACCAGCAGAGTGGAAGCAGCACCCTGCTCCTCCAGCCCAATGCCAGGCAATCCAGGCACAAACCAGTTTCCATGTCCCTGGTGAGTGGGGCCATCAGGAGTGAGGCTCTGTGAGCACTCACACTGACCTGCTCTGCCCATTTTCCTGCATTAAAGTATTTTTTTCCATTCAAGCACCAGATTTCGTGTTTCTAGAGACACAAACAAGGCCTGAGAGATGCCCAGGGTTGTGCCCTGCTGTTCTGTGGGGGTAACCGCTGCTTCCCTTCCCTGGCAGAGAACTTGGAGTACAACTCAGAGCCTCGGGAGATCCCTCACCCCGACATCGGCCGCTACTTCTCCGAGTTCACCGGCCTGCACTACCTGGCCAACACCGAGCTGGAGATCCGCTACCCCGAGGATCTGGAGCTCACCCGAGCCACGGTGCAGAAGATTTACAGCTCAGGCAAGGAGTGAGTGCCAAAGGCAGCCTGGGGACAGAAGCAGCTGGAGTGTAGCTTTACCCTCTCTGCAGAACTTGCGTGGGAAGCAAGTTTGGTGACAATCCTTTGGCTTAATGCATTGAAAACTGCACTGAACTTGGAAACTGGTGCTACAGCATCTTCCCGTTGTCTGCCTGGCCCAGGGGCACGGGGACACTTTGGGACTTGAGGCCCAGCAGGAGGATCTTGCAGGGACAGCTGTGCCAGGAGCGCTGTCCTTGGGAAGGATCTGCACATTCTGCTCCTTCTGTGGTGGCCTTAGGTCAGCACAGCGAGATCCTGGTGTGGAATATGGAGGAATCCCCTCTTCCAGAGAAGGAAGTGGCTTGTCCCGGCAGTATTTTTGTTTGGCTGTGTCTGTCTGGTTTGGTTTGAGTGTGTATCCCATGCAGGCAATAGTTTTTAAAGTCTCTCACGTTTCGCTGTTGTCTTCTCCGGTCTGAATTCTGGGTCAGGTATTGCTTCACCTCTGTAGTCTGATTGTTCCTAGAGCTACTGTTCCAATCCTGAATATCCTCCTGGGCCTGGCAATATCCTCATGGGCCTGGGAAGGAGCTCCAGCCACAAAACCAGCAGCAGTGAGGCTGGTGAGCAGTGCTGACCCCGGGGCCAGGTGGCCACCTCACCAACAGCAGAGACTCCAACAGCAGAGGAGGAGCTCCTGGCCCTTTCCATGCCTGCTGAACACACCCAGCCCATGTCCTGACCTTGCTCTTCGCTCTGTCCATCCTGTGTGTCCAAGGTGGGATCTGTGGCACAGCCATGAGTGTTCCAGAGGAGTTGGAGCCTCTGGTGGGACCTTGAGTGACTTGGATGGACGCGGAGCTGCCGCTCGCTGCCATCTCCAATTTTTTTTTTTCCAATAGGTATTTATGCAATACATGGAATGATGACTGGAACCTGGCCATCCCTGGAGTCAGCCAAAGCATTATGGAAGCAAGATGTTAATTGCTGCAGCTTGAGGCCTTCTTCCTTCTTGCCAAAAGAAAACTGATTCTAGGGGGGCTCAGGCTTGGCTGCCTACAAGGGAAGAGCTTTAGCAGCTCGAGGCACGTGACTTTTAACCTTGACTGAAAGGCCCAGACAGAACCACTGCAGAAGAGGTTTTCCTCTGGGCTCAGGGGCTGTGGGGTGCAGAGTGACACAGTGTTTGTGCATATCTTTGTGGTTTCTGAAGCAATGTGTGTAGAGTAGCTGCAGTTCGTGTCTCCTGTCACTGTCCACTTGCAACGCAGTAATTCTTCTCTCTGAGCTGACAATTAGGGCCCTGTAGAGGTAGGTGGATGCTCTTTAGTCTCTTATGCACTACAGGTATCTCCATGTGGAATCACAGCCCTCCTCTCCAGCAATGCCTGCCCTGCATGTCACCTCCTGCAACCCTGAGCACTGGTTTGCTGTGGAAATAAATGCTGAGAGCCCAGCACTTTGGTGGTGGTGGTCTGCAGGGATCTGGGGCTCCAGGAGGAGCAGCCTGTGGGGAGAGAGTGAGGAATGCTGAGGGGGCTCTGCTCCAAGCAGAACTCTGTCTTCAAAGAGTCAGAATCCAGAATGGTTTGGGCTGGAAAGGACCTTAAAGCTCCTCTTGTTCCATGGGCAGGGACACCTTCACTATCCCAGGAACCTGGAGGGGGCAGGAGTTCCCATGGTGAAGCAGGGTAGGGAATCCTCAGGCAAAAAACCTGAAATTCATCTCTTGTTTTTGAGGGTTGGAGCAGACCCCAAACCTCCAACCCACTGTGAAATCAGATCCCAAAACATTCGTGGCAGGGATGCAGGGTTGGGAGTGGGGCTGGTGAGTCCCAGGGTGGCTGAGAAGAGGCAGAGCAGGGCTTGGGCTCCCCATTCCCAGCTGCCAGCAATATCCTGGGGGTTTGTGCACCCAGGGAATTGCAGAGCTCACAGGAGCCAGACAATTTCCCTGGGAGCTGGCCAGTGCCTGCCACCCCACCTGGGGAGCTGCTGGGTGTTTCAAGGTCCCAAAGCTGCCAGCAGGGCCCTTTCTGTCCCTCTTTTGGGTCACTCTGTGCTCATACCCTGGCCCAGGAGGAAGTGTGGGAGCTGTTGCTCACCACAGACTGGGCTGCAGAGGGGTTGGGTACTCAGGGACAAACCCTGGAACTAAATCCTCATCCTCTGGCAGGAGTTTTTGGGGGAGCTGTGACCTCAGGCTGCTCTGCCTGCTCTGGGTGCTGCCCACATCCACACCTGGGCTGTGGCTGTTGGGTCACCCAGAGCACCAACACGGCCTTGGAGGTGCCAGATTTGGAAAGATTGGGCTGAAAAATTGGAAAGATTGATTCAATGTGTTTTCCACACAGCCAAGTCAGATTTTGGGGTTTGACACAAACCCAAAGGGAATGCTGAGTTCCCTTGGTCTCCCATTTGGGGTGGGTGTCCCCACTGTCTCCAGGGCTGCTTGCCCTGGGTGGAATCTGGTCCTGGGGAGGAGAAACTCCCCTGTGAGCACCTGCTGCTGTGGGAGGCCTCAGCCCAGCATCCAGGGGGGCAGGAGAGCTGGAATCCTCCAGGATACATCCAGGGAACGCTGGAAACCCCGAGGATACATCCAGGGTGGCCAGGAAAAGCTGGAATCTCCCAGGACACATCCAAGGTGGCCAGAGAAGCTTGGAAACCCCCAGGATATATCCAGGGTGGCCAGGAAAAGCTGGAATCCCCCCAGAATAGCTGGGTGTCCATGTTGGAACAGCCTCCTGGAATGCCCCTGGGTTCCCACAGGCTGCACATCCAGGGCCCAGCACTGTGGGAATTCCTCTGTGGGATGCTGGGGTGGCATTTGGGGTTTGCCTGTGCCCCTCCCCTCCTGCAGGCACTGTCAGCTTTTCCCCAAGGACACAGCAGTGGATCCCAAAAGCTCCTTGTGTCTGTGGTGATGTCTGGGTCTGTGGTGTCCTTGTTGAAGGTGGTGCTGATGCTGTCCGTGGGGATTTGTCTGTCCTGTCTGTGTGGAGCTCTCCTGTGCGGTGTTCTGGAGAAGGTGGAATTGCCTCTCCTCTCTCCCACAAGGTGCAAAGCCAGGCCACGTCTCTCCTGTCCTTGGGAGCAGGGGCTGAATTCCCTGCAGGTCATTCCCTTCCCTTCCCTTCCCTTCCCTTCCCTTCCCTTCCCTTCCCTTCCCTTCCCTTCCCTTCCCTTCCCTTCCCATGTCACAGCCACCCATGCTGGGGGCAGAGCAGCCCCGGTGCTGGCGTGTGACAATCCAGGGGGTGAAGGGAAAAATCCAGAGTGGGGCAAGAGGAGGCTGGGAAGGGGCAGAAGGCAGGAGTGCTCCCTGTCTGCGTGGTGAGGGAAAGCCAGGGCTGGGTCCAGGCTTTGCCACCATTGGGTGCTGGCACTCAGGGGTGTCCCAGGCAGTGCCAATCCCAGGTAATGGCATTCCTGAGCAGTGCCAATCCAGGACAGTGGAATTCCCAGGTAATGGCATTCCGAGCAGTGCCATTCCCATCCAGTGCCATTCCCAGGTAATGGCATTCCCAGGGATCAGTGCCATTCCCAGGCAGTGCCAATCCAGGGCAGTGCCATTCCCGGGCAGTGCCATTCCCGGGCAGTGCCAGTCCAGGGCAGTGCCATTCCCAGGGGCAGTACGATTCCCAGGCAGTGCCATCCCCGGGCAGTGCCATTCCCAGGCAGTGCCAGTCCAGGGCAGTGCCATTCCCAGGGGGCAGTGCCATTCCCAGGCAGTGCCAGTCCAGGGCAGTGCCATTCCCAGGGGCAGTGCCATCCCCGGGCAGTGCCATTCCCAGGCACTCTCCTGGGCGCAGCAGCATGCCCGGGAGGTTTCTCCACCCTTGGAGGCCGAGCTCTGGCTGTGCTGCTGCTCCAGACCAGGCTGAGGAGCTGCTGGTGCCCTCCAGCAGCCAAGGGACAGCTCCTGGATCCTCTGGGGAAGCTCTTCAATCCCTTTGGAGCCATCGTGGCACACAGGGACACTGAGAGCAGCCTGGCGCGGCCAAGGGCAAGCACTGATGCCTCTGACAAACCATGGCAGTTTGTCTCCAATCTTTGCAGGAAAATCAAGCCCCAGGATCATCCAGACCAGCCAGCCCTGCCTGAGGCCAGGGAGAGCTGTGGGGACAGGAGGATGAGGAAGAAAGGGCTGCCCTGGGCTGGAAAAGGATCCCTGGGATCTCTGGTCCCTTCCAGGCCAGTTCCACCTGCACCCCAGCTGGCTCCAGGTGCTGTCCTGGCCCATTCTGGGCATCTCCAGGGATATCCCAGCTCTGAGGGCCCTGCCTGGCTCTTCCCCCACAGGGGACACGGGGACTGTTGGCAGGGACAGAGTGCTACATTTGTTTCCCACCACCTGCCTGGAAGTGCCTGGGCTGGGCAAAATTCCACATTGGATGGAAAAGTGCTGGCCCAGGAAGGGAGGGTGAGGAGCCCTGAGCCCCAGGGCCCCTGACACTGACAGCTGAGGTTGCAAGATGGGGACATCTCTCCTTTCTCCCATTTTTATTTATAAACAGGTATTTTCCTGGACAGCTGGAGGCTGGAAATGATTTCATTCCTTTCCTGTTTATATTTGGCTTTCAACAAAATAAACACCACTGACTTGCTACCTACTGCCGGTGTGCTGTGCTCTTTGAGCTGCTCCCCAACCTCTGCCTGCCCAGAGGCTCTGGTGGCTGTCCCCAAGTGCTGCTCCTGGCATGGCCCTGTGCCCGGGGCAGGGTGACACGTCCCTGCCAGGGCCGGGCTGGCAGCGGGGACATGCCGGGAACCCCCAGGGTACATCCAGGGTGACCAGGGAAAGCTGGAAACCCCCAGGATACAGCCAGGGTGTATCCCAGGGTGCCGCCTGGGGAAGCCCCCCGTCATGGGGGGGGTCACCTCTGGGTGTCCCCCTTGGGGACACAGCCCGGGCAGTGCCAAGGCTGGGGCAGCCGCGGGGTCTCCATGGGGAGACCCCGGCCCGGTTCCCGCACAAGGATGCCGGGGCGTCCCCGCTCCCTTCTCGGGGACACAGCCGGTGGTTCCCGGTGCCCGCAGCCGCTGCCGGGGCTGTCCCCGCTCCCGGGGCTCCCTCCCCCGGGCCCGGCGCTGCTCTGGGCGGGGGCGCGCAGGGACCCGGGGCCGCCGCGCCGCCGCCGCCGCCGCCTCCCCCGCCGCGCCCGCCCGCCCTTAAAAGCGGCGGCGGCTCCGGTGCAGCGCCCGCGGCGGCGCTCCCGGCACGGCCCGGGATGGGCTCCGCGCACTCCGTGCCCGCCGAGATGCGGGAGCTGGCGGACAGGACGGGCTGTGAGTACCGGGGAGCCGCGGGCACCGCCCCGGATCATCCCACCCGCACCGAGCCCCCGGGGCCGCCGCCCGAGGGGACACCCGGGTCCGGCGGGGGACACATCACCCGGGGAGGGGGGCTGTGCGGGACGTGTCACCCTCGAGGGGGGGTGTAGGAGGTGCCAGCCGGGAAGGAAGGACGGGGGGGCGCACGGGAGATGTCAGAAATGTCACCTGTGTGGCCGGGGGGCTGCGGGAGGTGACGCTGGAGCAGCGCGGGGGATGCAGGACCCGTGCAGGGAATGTCACTGGGGAGGTGCAGAGGTGTCACCCGGGCTGGGGGAGAGCAGGATGTGACAGCGGGGATGGAGCGGGGGAGGGGATGGGAGGGGAGGGTGCAGGAGTGACACCAGAGGGTGCCAGCGTGTCACCCTGGTCCCTGCTGCTGCCACCAGCCCGCGAGCCGGGGCGTCGAGCGGCCGCACGTGCGAGCCCCAGCCGGGCTCTGCCACCGCGCCACCGGGCATTGTCCCCGCAGCGCTGCTCTGCCCGGAGCCACCGGGCCGGGACACCCCGGGGCTGCTTTGGGATCGAGGGACCGGCAGGAAAGGGACGGGGTGGCCGTGTCCGTCCTGGAAGTGTCACCAGTGTCACCGCGGCAGGATCCAGCGGGAGCTCCCGGTCCCCGTGCTGCGGTGGAGGGAAGGCTCAAGGGGGGGCTCTGCCCACGGCCAGAGGGTCTGTGGGGACCGAGAGGGTCTGGGGACTGTCCCCAGTGCTGCTGCTGCCCCTGGCGTCACAGATCCCTTCATCTCCCTTCTCCTCTCCTCTCCACTCCAGGGAGGGCTGAGCCCCCCAAACCCCACACTGAGCCCCTCAGGGCAGACTCAGGGGCTTGGGGAGCCCGCGGGGTGCCAGCCTGGCAACCCAGGGAGGGTGCGAGGAGGATTTTGGGGAGCCCCTGGCCCGGGGACCCTGCAGCAGCATCCCGGGCACAGGCGGCACCTGCCATGGGAGGCTCCTCCGCGGTGCCCCGGGGACCAACGCCAGGGCAGGGTTTGCGAGGGCAACACCCAAAAATCTCATGGAAAGCAGAGGAGGGAGGGCAGGGGGAGCCCACAACTCCAGGCCGTGTCTGGGGTGCCCGTCCTGTGCTCCCCGTGGTATCACAGAGCTCCCCCCCGTGCTGTGGCTGCTGCCAAAAAGGGGATTTAGGGATTCACAGCCTCGCTGCTGGGCTCCGAGCTCACACAGGGCACTGCAGCCAACCTCGGTCCCCTGGGAGGGGCAGGGACAGGGCAGAGCCACCCTGAGGTGCCCCAGGCTCGTTCCTTTGCCTTCTCCCGCATGGAGGGACACCCTGAGGGGCTGCTCGGGGCTGCTTCCCCTCCTTCCCTCCGTGTGCTCCATCCCAGAGCTGCTGCAGCTCTCCCCAGGGTGAAGCGGCTCTTGCCGGGATGCTGTGATGTCCCTGCAGCCAGGCTGGGCCCCCCAGTGCCCCTGAGCCCCCCTGAGCCCCCTCAGTGCCCCTTTCCCTCTGCTCAAGCAGCACAACCCACGCAAGGCTGGGAACAGCAAGCCCGGCTCCCTTTGGTTGAAATCCCATTTTTCCCCCGTTAGCAGAGGCTGCCGTGTTTGGACACGGGCCTGCAGCATCAGGATGCTTCTCAGGGACACCAGCAGCCTGTGCTGCCCTTGAGCCAGCCCTTCTTCCAGCAAAGCTTTTGCCTTTCCTGCAGATTTTTCCTTTTTTTTTTTCTGGAGAGCAGCCGAGCTCTGCCACCTTTACAGGGATAGCGACGCTGGGAGAGCTGCCCTGAGAGGAGCACCTGGGATGGGGAAAGAGGCAGCAAAAGCCTCCCCCAGCCCTCCAGGGCCAGCCCCACCATGAGCACACAGCCACCGAGCCCAGCTCTTTGTGCTCCGGGTGCCTGGGACATTTTTCTGAGAGTTCAAAGCTTTTTGGTGATGCTCAGGGCTTGGTGGCCCAGCTGCTCCCATGGTGACAGCGGTGGCGTCACGGCACGGAGTTAAAGGTCAATTCTGCAGGGCCAAAATTGGAAAGAAAGTCCAGGGAAAGTTTCCATGGGACAGCAGCAGAGCAGCAGCCAGCAGGGACTGGGGGGAAACATCCAGTGGGGTCTGGGCATCAGCAACTGAGAGCTGGGGGGCTCAGGAGGGATAAAGGGGGGATAAAAGGGATCCTGCAGGGATCCAGGCAGGCTCAGGACCCCCCTGGCCCATCCCAGATGGGATTTCCAGGCTCTTACAGAGAGCTCTGAAGGCCCAGCCCCGCTGATCAATGCAGCTGCTATTTCCAGGCTGTGCAGCAGCAGTGGGCAAAGCAAAGGACATTATTTAAACATCATAAAAGGCATCGAGGGAGGCAGCTCAGCCCAGCTCTGACCCTGCTGGCTTGCTGCAATTAACCCTTTGCAACCCCTTAAGGTGGTTTCATGTGTCTCCATGGTGCCAGGAGTGGCTGATTTGCAGCTGCTGGTGCTGCAGGAGCCTGGGGGTGCCCAGACAGACCCCCAGCCCACAGGGACACCGCTCCAGAGCTTCCCTGGCTCCTGGGAATGGCTCTGTCAATGTTTGCACAGGAGTCATGTTCTGGGGGGTCAGAGCTTGGTTACAGCCCCAGGAGAGCAGCAGGGCAAGATAAACTCACCTGTGCTGAGAGATCAGGCCCTCCCCTTCCAGCCCAGCCCTGCCCTGGGATGGGGTTGGTGCCCCCAAGGTTTGTGGCTCACCCTGAGCAGTGGCAGCAATCCCAAAGCCAGGAGTTGATTTTGGGGGCTGCTGTGCCCCCTCTGTGTCCTTTCCCCTTCCCTGGCTGCTGTCAGGGTTTCTGATCCCAGAGTTATTTCCTAGAGCAGCCGTGGCTGTGCAGGACATGGAAGAGCCTCCTGGCCCAGGCAGAGCTGGGGCAGGGGGAGAGGAGGAGCTGCCTGGGCACAGCTCTGCCCACGGTGCCAACAACCCCAAAAATGCCAATCCTGCTCCAGAGGGCTGGCACCAAGGATCCTGAGCTGGGGAGGGATCCCACTGTGCCATTCCCTGCCGTGCTGGGCCAGGGAATTCCCTGCAGACAGGACAGGGAATAACCCAGCCCTTGGCACCGGGCACAGCGACACAGAGGGACCTGCAGGGTGGCACCACAGGGAATAGGGGTGGCACAGCTGTGCCCAGGACCCTGCCCCACTGCTGGCAGGTGGGACAGGCACAGAGGAGTGTCCCCAGGGTCCCCCCCTGTCACCTCTCTCCTTTCCCTGGCAGTCACCTCGGAGCAGATCGAGCACCTGCACCGGCGCTTCAAGCAGCTGAGCCAGGACCAGCTGACCATCCGGTAGGGAATGGGGAATGCCAGCCCCAGTTAAATCCCAGCCCCACTTCAATCCCAGCCCCATGGCAATCCCAGCCCCAGGACAATGCCAGCCCCACCACTGAAATCCCAGCCCCACTTAAATCCCAGCCCTGGGGCAATGCCAGCCCCAATTAAATCCCAGTCCCACTTCAATCCCAGTCCCATTACAATTCCCATTCTCTGGCAATTCCAGCCCCAGGACAATCTCAGCACCACTGCAATCACAGCCCCACAGCAATCTCAGCCCCATTACAATTCCCATCCTGTGGCAAATCCAGCCTCACTGCAATTCCAGCCCCACCACAATTCCCATCCCATGGCAATTCCAGCCCGGGGGCAATTCCAGTCTCACTGCAATTCCAGCCCCAGGGCAATCCCCACCCCATTATAATTCCCATCCCGTTGCAGTTCCAGCCCCACAGCAATTCCAGCCCAATTACAATTCCATCCCCACTGCAATTCCAGCCCCAGGGCAATTCCCATTTTGTGGCAATTCCAGGCCCATTGCAATTCCCATTTTGTGGCAATTCCAGGCCCATTGCAATTCCAACCCTGCTGCAATCCCAGCCCCAGGGCAATCCCAGCCCTGCTGCAATCCCAGCCCCACAGCAATCCCAGCCCCATTATAATTCCCATCCCATTGCAGTTCCAGCCCCCTTGCAATCCCAGTCCCAGGGCAATTCCAGCCCCACTTCAATCCCAGCCCCACAGCAATCCCAGTCCCATTACAATTCCCATCCTGTGGCAATTCCAGCCCCACCACAATTCCCATTCCATGGCAATCCCAGCCCCAGGGCAATCCCAGCCCCATTACAATTCCCATCCCACTGTAATCCCTGCCCCACAGCTATTCCAGCCTGTGGCAGTTCCACAGCAATCCCAGCCCCACTGCCAGGGCCATCCCCAGTATCTCCCCCTTCCCTGAGCTGCCCAAGGTGCTGGTCCAGGGCTGGGATTCTGTGTCCTTCCCTGAGCCATCCCTGAGCCAGCTCCCACAGCATCGCCTTGCAAATATTCCAAGGAAAACACACAATAACCCATTGGCCTGGGAGCAGGGGCACTCCTGACAAACATCTCATCACCCTCCAGCTTTAAAATCAGTTCTGGGGAGGGAAGGAGGGGTTGCAGGGGCTCTTGTCCCTCTCCTTGGTGGCTGCACAGGGAATTGGGAGCGCTCTGAGCTCTCCCAGTGCTATTTCTTGGCTCTTGGTTTGCTTTATAAATCGCAGAGATCAAAGCCCAGCATGAAGCTGAGGGGAGGGTGGACAGCAGGATCTCCTTGGTGAGCCCTGCTTGAGGCCTTTTCCTGGGAAAACTCCAAAATCCACGGCAGGTGGAGCCATGCAAAGAGCCCTGGGGTCATCCCAAGAGCTTCCCCAAGACCCATCCTGGCGGGACAAAATCCCTGAGCGCGGACTTGCTGTCAGTCTGAACAGAAGAAAGAAGGGTTTTATCCAAAATCCCTTTATTTTTCGGTGTTTGCTTTGCAAGGAAGGGTTGGGGCTCTCAGGGCTCTTTGCATGGCTCCACCTGCCATGGATATTTGAGTTTTCCCAGGAAAAAGGCCTCAAGCAGGGCTCACCAAGGAGATCCTGCTGTCCACCCTCCCCTCAGCCCATGCTGGGCTTTGATCTCCGAGATTTATAAATCCTCCCTCACACTCCTGCTCTCTCTGTGCCCTTTGCAGCAAGGAGAACTTTGACAGCATCCCCGACCTGGAGTTCAACCCCATCCGAGGGAAAATCGTCCACGCCTTTTTTGACAAGCGGTGAGAGCCCCCAGCACGCAGGGAAGGAGGATTTATCCTCTGGGAATGAGGAGGGCCTGGGCAGGGACCTTCCCCCTAAAGGCTGCGGTGGAGCTGGGTGGAAAATGAGACATTTAAACTGGATTTTAGGGATAAACCAGTCCTAGGGCTTTGCTGGGGGTGTGATGATGCTGAGGCAGGTTCCCCATGGTCACCTCTGCAGCAGGAGAGACACCAGAGACATCAGTAGAAGATAACAGGCCAACTCTTAGCAGGGGTTAATCCAAGGTTTTATTCCAGGAGTCCCAAAGGAGTCCCCACACCTCAGGGAGCTCCAGCTGAGAGCCAGGGAGAGGGGCCAAGGTTACATTGAAAGGGAGGTGGAAATTTAAAATAGAGAACATTTACTGACCAATGAGTGACCCTGAGGGATGGGTACTGGGAATGGACATTGAGGACAGGATTTGGGGTAACACTTGGGGGCTGACCCCTGGTCTCTGGCTGATCACTCGATGTCCTGGACAGAAAGTTCTGGCTGGAGGGGATGGGATGGTGAGTGACCAACAGAGAGCCAGGGTGGGGATTGGGGGATGATCCCAGCAAAGGAAAGGGATTGCTCAGGTACAGGGAGGAGGCACAATCTGGGATAAACCATTTGGGAAAAATACAAACCCAAAACTGTTACAAAGTATTCCAAAGTATAAAACCACACCACAACACCCAATCACCCCCCAGGAACCTGCGGCAGGAGTCGGACGGGCTGGCGGAGGAGATCAACTTCGAGGACTTCCTGACCATCATGTCCTACTTCAGACCCATCGAGATGAACATGGACGAGGAGCAGCTCGACCGCTTCCGCAAGGAGAAGCTGAAATGTGAGGCTGCCCCAGGGCCAACCTGGGCTTGGGGCTGCTGGCCAGGGGCTGCCCTGACCCTGCTGTCCCCTGCTGTCCCCTCCTGTGTCCCCCCAGTCCTGTTCCACATGTACGACTCGGACCACGACGGGAAGATCACGCTGCAGGAGTACAGAAATGTAAAGTTGGGTCCCCCCTGCCCCATTCCCCATGGCCAGGCCTGGCCTGAGCCTCTGCCCTTGCAGGTGGTGGAGGAGCTGCTGTCGGGGAACCCCCACCTGGAGAAGGAGTCGGCTCGGTCCATCGCCGACGGGGCCATGATGGAGGCAGCCAGCATCTGTGTGGGACAAATGGTGGGAGCCTCTGCTGGAGCCTCCTCCTGCTCTCAGGGGCTCTGCTGGCATCACAATGGGGCTGGGGGGGGTCCCTGCTTGCCAGGGCACCCCCCTGTGCCACAGCTGCTTTGGCTGGAGGTGTTTTTTGCAGGCAGCAGCTCCCAGGGTGATGTTTGCTCATGAGAGAGGATCAGCATCCCACAAACCCCCATCCATCCATCCTCACTGCCTATGGAAAGGGCTGCTCCTGGCAGCCGAGGGGGTGTGGGAACCACTCTGGGGCTGGCCATGGGGTGCAGGGCAGGAACCCGTGGGGGATGTGTCCCTCAGCCCCAGGGGACATCCCAGGGCTGCCTCTCCCATCACCCCGGGGCAGCTGCGATGTTTCCTCTCACTGAGCAGGGCCCGGACCAGGTGTACGAGGGCATCACCTTCGAGGACTTCCTGAAGGTCGGTGACGCCCCCGGGAGGAGGGGCTGGGGCGGGAACAGGGACAGGGGCGGGCACAGGAGGGACCGGGATGGGCACGGGAGGGACCGGGATGGGCACAGCAGGGCCGGGGTGTGGCCCTGGTCCCCTCACCCTGTCCCCTGGCAGATGTGGCAGGGCATCGACATCGAGACCAAGATGCACGTCCGCTTCCTCAATGTGGACACCATCGCCCACTGCTACTGAGAGGGGAGCAGGAGGAGGAGGAAGAAGAGGAGGAGAGGAAGAGCACCCAGCAGCAGCTTCATGTCCTGGCACTCAGCTCTGCTCCACCCGTGTGCCTGTTCCAGGCTGGGGCTGCCCTCTAAAAACATCAGAGGCTTTTATCTGTAATAAAAGATATTTCTCTTTTTAGTCCTTGCTGAGAAATCCTCCATCCATCCATCCATCCATCCATCCATCCATCCATCCATCCATCCATCCATCATCCATCCATCCATCCATCATCCATCCATCCATCCATCCATCCATCCATCCATCTGTCATCCATCCATCCATCATCCATCCATCCATCCATCCATCCATCCATCCATCACTCCATGCTGAGCAGAAACCCTCCACAAATCCTGACTGCCCCACAAATTTTGGATTTTGGCCTCTGCCAGGTACTGTTGTGGGGAAGGATCTGCCCAGCTCGGGCTGATGCCAGGCCATGGGAGAGGCAGGGATGGAGATGCTGGGGACAGGAGGTGACAGCAGCACCTGCAGGGACAGCCCCGTCCCACTCTGCATCCTGCAGGGAAGGCGGAGGCAGTGACACCAGGAACATTCCCGGTTTAATCCCAAAGCAGAGCAGGCAGGAGGAGCCCAGCAGGCGGCAGGGACGTGGGGACACGGGCTCCTGGCAACCAGGTGGCTTCTGCCCCCTCATGTTCCCGCAGGAACAAGGCTCGGGAGCCGGGGGTTGTTTACTGCCGTTAATGACTCGATGGCTCCAGGCGGGTTCTGTCTCTAAGGCAGCCCGGGCTGGGGAGGGAGGGAGGCAGGGAAAAAAGGGCAACGACTATTTTTAGGAGAGCAGGGAAAATTTATTTGTTTTATCAAAAAAAACCAGCTTCCCCTGGTGACAGGGGCAGCACACCCGGCAGGTGAGGGGCTGGGCAGGAATGGGTGTGGGTCCACCAGGGCCGGGGTCACCCCCTTGGCCCTCCTTGTGTCCCCCCTGGCTCAGGGCAACATTTCCTCCTTCTTTTCCTCATTACTGGGGTCTCTGCTCTGCACCCCCACACTGAGGGCACATTTAGGGTTTCTGTCCCCTCCCAAGTCCCCGTGTCCCGCCAGAGCTGAGCATGAGCAGCTAATGGGGCCCGGGGAAGGACAAGGACAGCGCTGCCCTGCCCTGGGGACCGGCCCGGGGCTGCCCCGGGGATGGAGCTGATCCCGGGTCCCCCTGGGAATGTCCCACCTGGGAATGTCCCAGGGGCCGTAGGGATGGGCTGGGCTGGGTGGGGATGGAGCTGGGCACGGTGGGGACGGAGCTGGGATGGAGCTGGCACAGTGGGATGGAGCTGGGATGGAGCTGGGATACAGTTGGGCATGGTGGGGATGGAGCTCCCGGCTCTCCCGGAGGAGCCATTCGTGCCCTGCAGAGCTCCTGGTGCTGCTCCCCAGCCTGGGCTGCGTGTGCAGAGCTCCGGGATTCCGTCCTTGGGCCCCTCTGGGCACCCCCATGACCACCCCCACCTCCTCCTCCTCTTCCTCCTCCTCCTCTCCTGTACCGGACCCCCAGCGCTCCCTCCCCACCCCACGCACACGAAGCCCCAACCCCCAGCTCCTCCCCAAACCCAGGATTCCACAGCCAACCCAGGCTCCTTCCCCTGTTTTCCCACTGAAATTCCCACCCAGACACTGCGGGACTGCCAAGGTCCCTGATCCAGCTGCAAGCCCCGTGATCCCAACACAGCCCCGAGCTCCCATCACAGCCCTGGGTCCTTTTCTGCCCCAGATCCCCCGGCTGGGGCTGCAGGGGTCAACCCGAGCTCAGGGTCCCTCTCCCCATCCACATCCAGATTTCCTCCAGGAATCATCCAGAGGCTCCCAGCAAGGGCAGGGAAGGGTGAAGAGGATGGATGAGAGGATGACTATTATCCCTTGAGTTAATGAGTCATTATAATTAGCCAATAATAATATATATTAATAATATATATAACATATTATAATATATATTATGTATGTTATAATATATATATATAACCATTATAATATAATTAGCTGCCCCTGATATTCTAAGGGGCAAGGAAAGAGAGGGAGGTTGGGAAACAGAGGCAGGACCCAAAACCAAGTGGCTGCAGCGTTTTCCATTTGTGAAAAATGCCAATCACTTGTTTTAAATTTTTAAAAGTTTAATAGTAATAAAATGGTTATAAAAATACTAATATAATTAGAGTAATAATAATTTGGACAATTGAGATAGGACAATATGAGAAAATAGAAACAAAGAGTTACAGATAGTCCGGGTACCTTTTTCTGGGCAAAATAAGCCTGAAAAAGGACCCACGTTAACAGAGGATTAACCCTTAAAAGCAGCAGCCTGTTGCATATTTATACACCTCATACAAGATGCATAAATTCCATTCAAACACAGGATTGTGTCTGGGCAGTGCCACCTTCTTCCTCTGAATCCTAACAGCATCTTCAGGGCTGAGTGAGGTGGAAAGAAGTTCATTTCTCCTGATAATGGAGCAGTAAATTCTTTTTCTCTGAAAGATTTTGGTGTCCTGTGGCTGCTATCTCAGTGTGAGTCCTCTCTTTAAAAAAATATCTCACATATACAGTTTCTATTTTAACATTATGTTAGAACCTAAAACTATATTTAACACAGCATTCAAGAAAATTAACACAGCACAACTTTCTAGCATAGCACATATAATATTCATGTTAATATTTGCAAAAAGCCAATCATAAAATATGCATTTTTCATGGTTTTGCTTGTGTTGGGAATTCCCTGTGGGAAATGGGAGAGGGGAGAGCAGGAGGGAGGCTGGGCTGGGCAGGGCAGGGAGGAGCAAGGATGGAGCTGGAGAGCCCCGGGCATGGGCAGGAGCATCCATCGTGTTGCACACGGCAAACACGGGATAATCCTCCTGAACATCACAGGGAAAGCTGGCAGGGCCCCGGGAAAGCTGGCAAGGACAAAGTACAGCAAAATCCTGCAAAGCCCAGAACGTCCATAAAGGAAATTGGTTCTGTTGTGGGGCCAGGATGTGGCACACACAGAGCTCTGTGCAGACCACAGGGGGAACTGGAAAATTGGAGCTGCCTTAGAACACATTGGAAAACTGCAGGGAGGCTGAGAAAGGCTGGGCAGCATCAGAGAGAGCAGCTCCTGGGATTGGAGAGGGGAATGAGTGACCCCAGAGCTGAATGTGAAAAATGCCTATTTTATGATTGGCTTTTTACAAATATTAAAATTAATATTATATGTGTTGTGTTAGAAAGTGATGCTGTATTAATTCTCTTAAGTACTGTGTTAAATATAGTTTTAGGTTATAAAAGTGGTTAAAATAGAAACGATGCTATGTAGGATGCTTGTGTTTTAAAGAAAGGACTCTCACTGAGATAGCAGCCCCAGGACACCTGAATCTTTCAGAGAAAAATAATTTATTGCTCCATTATCAGAAGAAACGAACTTCTTCCTGCCTCAAAGGCGCTGTTAGGATTCAGAGGAAGAAGCTGACACTGCCCAGACAGAATCCTGTGTTTGAATGGAATTTATGCATCATGTATGAGGTGTATGAATATGCAACAGGCTGTTGTTTATAAGGGTTAATCCTTTGTTAAGTGGGTCCTTTTTCAGGCTCGTGCTGCCCAGAAAAGGTACCCGGACATCTGTAACTCTTTGTATTTGTTGTCTCATATTGTCCTAATTCAATTTGTGCAAATTATTATTACTCTAACTGTATCACTATTTTTATAACCATTTCATTACTATTAAACTTTTCCAATTTTAAAAACAACTGACTGGCGTTTTTCATACCCTCCAACAGCCCCAGACATCCACATGAGCAGAGTGAGTCGAACACACATACACTCCCCCCTCTGCTGAGGTACAACCTTCCCCAATTAACTGCATTAATTAACAAGGACAACCCCAAAGCAGCACCCCCATGGGGCTGCGGGGACAGAGGGACACCGGAGCTGCCCAGAAAGGGAACAGGGGCTGCAGTGCCCATCCCGGGACAGCCTGGCACGGCACAGCCTGGCACGGGCAGGAGGAGAAGGAGACCCTGGGAAAAGGAAAAGGGCACTGCACAACCTTATCGGCTCCTTGCAGCAGCGAGAGGGAGGAGAACAAAGCTGTTCCCAGATAATGAGCAGAGATAAGGGGAAGGGAGAACAATGAGCTGGGAGCTCTCCCTGCTCAGCACATCTGAGCACCCCCAAAGTCATCCCATGATTTATTTGTCAGGTTCCAGCTGAACTCTTGTCCAAACTCTGCATCCGTGACACTTCTGCTCTTCCAGGAATGGAGGGAGGGAAGGCTAAAGAAATAAAAAGTAAAAGACCAAAGCTTTATGAAAGATTAAATTTATTGGTCAGACAGAATGGTTTTGCCCCTTGCACTTTTTGTGTATCTATCACATGGAAAAAGGTAACTTAAAAACCTAAATTGTGACATTTTGGCCTAGGGGTCATGGGAAAGCACCCCGAGGCAAAGAAGGAAAGCAGTGAAACCCATGTGTCTGCAGGGCCAGCCCAGCCCCTCTCCTGCAGGTCTGGGCACATTCCTGCACCCCTCCCTCAGCTCACACTAATTCCATTAACCCAGGATAAAAGGTGTTGTAAGTTAAAACTTAATCTCAGTTTAAACAGAACTGACACAGCTTTGGTTTGCACGAGTCAGTTTACAAGGGAAAATCACAATAAAATCATTTCAAATCAGCAAAAAGATCCATGCAAGGCTGGAGCCTTTGTTCCCCAAACTGGTTTTACCTGTCTGTCATTGGTTTTACCTGTCTGTCAGTGCCACCTGGGCTCAAGGTAAAGCCTCACTCCTCATTTCCACCTGAGCAGCACCTTCTGCCCCTCAGCTGCTGCTTCCCCACAGCTCTGGGGCTCAGCACCCAGGAGGGCACTGGGGCCACCTCATCCCCTCTGCTCCATGACCAATTCCCAGCTTGGAAGCAAGGACAGCACTGCAAGCCCTCCAGGTGCTGTGCAAGGACATGATCCAGCCAAGAACACCCCTGACAAGCTGAGCCAGCCCTGTGTCCCAGTGAACAGGGCTCAGCTCACCCTAAAAGGCTCAGGAACAAAATTCCACTGACAGATGTACACATACAATTAGAAAACAGCTGATACAGGATTTTAAAGAATTAAAAAAATAAACTGTTCTAAAATAACTTTGATGTGTGTGTGTGTGCCCTGCTGAGTTGCCAAGCATCCAGCCTGGCCTAGGGAACCTTCCCCTCCCTCTCTCCATCTCAAGCCCTCTCCCAGCCTCTGTAACCTTTTGTGCCTGCTGTTCCCAGGCACTTCCCAATGCTCTCCAAGGAAAACAAGAACCAGCAGCTCAACACCAGGACAGACATTTCAAACATGTGCCTCAGCACATGCTTTTTCCAACCCTTGGTGATTTTTTCCCTCTTGGGGTAGGCAAGAACTCCTCACTCAGATCTCCCACCCCTTCAGAGTCCCACTCTGGCTTCCTGAGCAGGATGTTCCCTGCAGCATCTTTCCCACAAGCAGCAGGAATATTTTTGCTCACCCTGCAGTGCTCCCTTTCCTTTCTCAGCCTCTCCACTGCCCCAGGCTGGAGTTCTGGACGTGTCCAGAGTGGCACACTGCAGCAGGGCAGCCCTGCCCTGTTGGGGTGCACACCCCAGGGCTTTCTGCAGCCCACCCCAGCTCTCGGGTGCGTGTCCCACAGGGGTTTTGCCGTGCCCTGGCCCTAGATGCTGTCGTAGGGCACCGCCAGGCCGATGTTGTAGCTGTAACCTGACACCTCGTCGTAGGAGGAGCGGCAGATGGGGAGGACGCTGTCCACGGCCAGCTGGTCCACGGAGAAATCGTAGGAATAAATCACCCCTCGGTACCTGCGTGCAAAACAGCCAGGACACAGCAAATCACCTCAGTGGGAAAGGGTCGCAGACAACTTTTATGAAAAATCCTTTCCTTGGGATTTTTCCTCCTGAGAAGCTGGGAGGCCTCAGGAACAAAATGTAAACAATGATTATCTGCTGCTGTGGAATGCAACAGGTGCATCTGTGATTGGCCTATGTTGGTTGTTTCTAATTAATGGCCAATCACAGTCAGCTGGCTTGGACTCTCTCTGTCCCAGCCACAAACCTTTGTTATCATTCTTTGCTATTCTATTCTTAGCCAGCCTTCTGATGAAATCCTTTCTTCTATTCTTTTAGTATAGTTTTAATGTGATATATATCATAAAATAATAAATCAAGCCTTCTGAAACATGGAGTCAGATCCTGGTCTCTTCCGGAATTCAAGAACCCCTGTGAACACCATCACAGAATCACCATAAAAACCATGGGAATGGGAAGAGCTGGATAAACCCCCATCCCCTGTGCTGAGCCCTTTGAGCAGGGAAAGCTCCCCTAGCCTCCTCCCAGGGCTGGTGAATCATCCCCCAGCCCTGCAGAGACGTGACTGTCATCTGCTGAAACATCTCCGGGCCCTCCAGCACGGGGGAAGATAAATACACTGGTATTTGATAGTTCAATTAGCACTAACAGCCGTTTGAGATGCAAATACCAAAACCTGCAGCTTAAATGCCAGTAGTTTTCCTTTAGGAGGAGACAGCATTACTAATATTTCGAGCATGGAGAGGGCTGCATTGCCTGCCTGGCTTCAGTGGACTTTATGTTCCCCTGTTGAGAATAAAAAGCTTTTTCTTTTGTGCTCAAGCAAATCAAGAGCCAATTCATTGCTTGTTTTATAAACCTTACCCTTAAACTTTTTTTAATTTTAGTTTTTTGCTGCTTTTGTAATTTTAGTTTTTCTACCCTCTCTGGGTGATGACTCAGGTGCTCAGGGTACTATTTAAGAACAAAGCACGTTGCTGAGGGCTGGTTTCTCACTTTCGGTGCAAGCTGGGGTCGTCCTCGGTGATGCTGGAGCCTCGGGGGTTCTTCTCCTCGGGGATGTTGGCAGTGATCAGGATGTGGGAGTCGAACCACACGTGCCGCACTGGGTGTCTGCAACACAACCCAGAGCCCGGCGTGAGCGGCCACCGGCGCTGGGATCCCAAAATCCCAGAGCTGGGCAAGGACCGGCTTGGGAATAAACCCGGAGTGACTGAAACCAGCGGCCAGAGGCGGGGAACCCGCACTGCCGGCTCCTCCAGCCTGCAGCACATCCCGCATCTTCTATCCCCATCTAGTGGGCTCTTCCCAGAACGCACGGGGAGGCCGGGAATGCTGCTGGAAAGGAGAGCAGAGCCTGGGAGGGAGGGATGGATGCAGGCTGGGCTGGGCTGGCTGCCCTAAGGACTGCAGCAGTCCCGGGAAGGGCAGGATGCTTCCCAAAAAAAGGGGAAGGACACCCCACACACCCTGCACTGAGCTGCTTTAGAAAGCACAAGCTGAGAGCCATGGAGTGGGGAAGGACCCACAGGGATCATGGATCCAGCCCCTGTCCCTGCCCAGACCCCCAACAGCCCCACCCTGTCCATCCCTGGCAGTGCTGCCCAAAGGCTCCTGGAGCTCTGGCAGCCTCGGGGCCATGCCCATTCCCTGGGCAGCCTGGGCAGTGCCAGCACCCTCTGGGGGCAGAGCCTTGCCCTGAGCTCAGCCTGAGCTGCCCTGGCCCAGCTCCAGCCATGCCCTGGGTGCTGTCCCTGTCCCCAAGCAGAGATGGAGCTGTCCCTGTCCCTGTTACAGAGCAGGGATGGAGCTGTCCCTGTCCCTGTCCCTGAGCAGAGATGGAGCTGTCCCTGTCCCTGTCCTTGTCCCAGAGCAGAGATGGAGCTGTCCCTGTCCTTGTCCCAGAGCAGAGATGGAGCTGTCCCTGTCCCAGAGCAGAGATAGTTCCTGTTCCTGTCCCAGAGCAGAGATGGAGCTGTCCCTGTCCCTGTCCTTGTCCCAGAGCAGAGATGGAGCTGTCCCTGTCCCAGAGCAGAGATGGAGCTTTCCCTGACCCTGTCCCTGTCCCAGAGCAGAGATTAGAGCTGCCCTCAGGAGCAGCTGCAGCCCTGCTGAGCTCTGAGCTCAGGCTCCTCTCCTCCAGCTGAGCAATCCCAATGCCCTCAGCTGCTCCTCCAGACCCTTCCCCATCCCCATGTCCCTCCTCTGGACGCTCCAGTCAGGTTTTCACTGCTTTCCCTCCCACTGGTGAACACTGAGCCCAAACCCAGCAGCAGCACTGTGTGTTCAAGCAGGAGTCACTGCTCTCCCCAGCTGAGCATGGCTCATCTCCACACCCCAAATGTGTCTCCTGTCACCTCCCTCAGCTCCTGCTCCTGGGCTCCATTCCTGGCAGGGGGCCACAGGCAGGGAGAACAGCACACACCTCATCTAGGAAAGCCTTTTGAATGAAGTGATCCCTTCTGATTGCTCTATAGATTAAACACTGTTTTCCACCTGTTTAATCTAATGGTTTCACTTGGAGCACATCCCTGAGCTCAGCCCTGCCCTGCCTGCCCTGCTCCTGGGGCAGCACTAATGAACATGCCAAGGAGACAATCAATGGAATATTGTCCTTAATGCATCAGCCACATCACAACAGGCTTTATCATCCCCAGGGTCAGCACACAAAGTGATACCTGCTATTAATCAATGACAACACCAGCTTGAACTTCCCTGCCTGTAAATACCTCATCTAGCTCCTCTTTGGGGAAGATGCATTAAAACTAATTTAGGAAAAACGAAATCAGGATTTATCTGTTCATTTTATGGATATCACTCAGACTTACAAGGGGCTAAACCCTCGAGTCTTTATCCAGACAAAGCCTGGGAATTGTGCTTTGATCAGGAAATTTCACTTAGCTGTGCAAAGTGTCAGCTCCAGGATGCTGATCTCTGCTTGTACTTTCAGTACTGTGCTCCCTGTGCTCAGTACAAACTGGTATTTCAATATTTAAATGAGTTTGAATGCTTTGATCCTCACCATTAAGGGAATGTGTGGGTGAGGTGCACAGAGGCACAGGGATTGTGATGGATGCTCTGGATGGGGACAGCCAGAACCAGTCCCTCTCCAAACAGCCAGTCCAGGATGTCAAACCCAAGGTTCCACAACTAAACAGAGCTTGGGGATGGGGCAGGGAGAAGCCACTATCTGAACTTCATGGAAAATCCAGGGGGAACAACTTCCCTGCTCCCCAACACCAACTGGAACACTCAGCTAATGAGTACAAAGGCCATGAGAGTGATGCCCCAGGTTTGAGCTTTTATATTTTCCAGATTCTGTGCTGCTTTAGTGTGTGGGTCTGGGCTTCATATGACGGGATGGTGAGCTCTGTGCACAGAGCAGGGAGACAAAACAATTCCTGCTCTAGCTGGGCACCAAGGACAAATGATCCAAATCTCAGGCCCAGGAGCACAAACACCGTGGGCTGGAGAGAGAAAAACAAGAGGGATGGGACTGCATGGGCTAAAGCTGGAATGGGACAATGAACTGCAATATGGAAATGGAGCAGAACTTATAAAAGTGAGAGACCTCGTGACCATCAGTCAGGGATTTTGTGACCATTTTGGGTTCACCTGGGGTGTAGCCCTGGCTGACTCTTGTGCTGCCCAAGGCAGCTCTATTGAGGAGATCCTTTTAAAATCCCTACTTTATTCTTTAGCTCTGTCTGGTCTCTGTTCTAGGCCAGCCTTCTCAAGGCACCAACAGCTAAAGAACCCCTCAGAAACACACAGGGACGAGACAACCCATGCCCAAAACACACAGGGCTCCATGTGAGGAGACAACCCATCCCCAAATCACCCAGAACTCCCCCAAAACTCTGCCAGTGCCACATCCCCCTCTCAGCCCTGGCTTACCTGGCGTGCATCTCCCAGAGCTTGGTGGCCATGCGCTGGTCCCAGACGCAGAGCAGCCCCTCCTCTCCTCCGCTGACCACTTTCCACTCGTCCATCTGCACGGAGCACACGCCCAGCTGGTGCCCCTGCACGCAGCACACGGCCTCGCCACAGCGCAGGTCAAACACCCTGACCCTGGGGAACAGGCACAGTGAGGCACAGACACACACATCTGCAGCTAATTCATCCACAGCTGATCTGGTGTGGTTTTATACTTTGTAACAGTTTTGTTTTGTATTTTTCCCAAATGGTTTGTACCCCCCTCCCTGTACCTGTGCAATCCCTTTTCTTTGCTGAGATCATCCCCACCCTGGCTCTCTGTCAGTCACTCACCATCCCATCCCCTCCAGCCAGAACTTTCAGTCCAGGATGTCAAGTGATCAGCCAGAGGCCAGGGGTCAGCCCCACAAGCGTCTGTGGGGCTCAATGTCCTCAATGTCCATTTCTGTTCCAGATTGCAATGCAAGATATATTCTGTTGCCATCTGTATTATCTTTTGTCAAGTGGGCAGTTTGCCTTATCTCTTTCTCTGAGTGACCACAATCACTCTTCCCTCAAGGGGGGGGGGACATTGCTGATAACAGCTATTGAATGTCCCTGCATGGCTGATAAGAACTACAGCATGCCATTGGGAGATGTGAGCCCAGAGGGAGGAGCCAAGCATTCCTACCCAGATATAATCCAGAGGTTTTGAGACACCAGCACGGCTTCTCCACTGGATTCCCCAGAGGAACAGCAGCTGCCTCTCCTTCCACTGGATCTTCAGAGGAAGAATCCATCCTTCTCTACAGGATCCCTGCTCCAGCAGAACCACCCCTGACACTGCAGGAGGGCTGAGCCACAATTCCAATGGCACTGCCACCAACACCCTGACCCACAGGGCATCAGGTTGGGTTCTGACTCTGTCAGTGCTGTTCTAGTGTACTGCATTGTTTATTTTATCCTTTTATTTTTTTTCCTTCCCTAATAAAGAACTGTTATTTCCTGCTCCCATATTTTTGCCTGAGAGTCCCTTAATTTAAAATTTACAGCAATTCAGAGGGGTGGGGAGGGTTTACATTCTCCATTTCAGGGGAGGCTCCTGCCTTCCTTAACAGACTCCTGGCTTTCCAAACCAAGGCAATTCCCCATATCCATCCCTCAGGGTCACTCATTGGTCAGTAAATGTTTTCTACTTTAGGTTTCCACCTCCCTTTCAATGTAACCTTGGCTCCTCTCCCGGGGCTCTCAGCAGGAGCCCCCTGAGGTGTAGGGGCTCCTTGGGGACTTCCTGGAATAAAACCTTGCATTAACCCCTGCTGAGAGTCAGCCCTTTTATCCTCTACCCATGTCTCTGGTGTCTCTCCTGCTGCAGAGGTGACCAGCCTGGCTGCCCTCAGTACCCTGAGGGCACAAGAGAGTGTCCCCTGCTGTCTGCTGACCCGGGGCTGGCTGGGGCTCCTGAGGGACTCCCAGAGAGACAGACACACAACTCTACAGCTAATTAATCCACAATTCTTCAGCTAATTAATCCAGACCCGGCTGGGTGGTTGTAAGTCTCTGTCCGAAGTTTCCCTCATCTGCCTCACAATCATGAAAGGGACAGAGACTGGGGACCACCGAAGAAAAGGACCCTTGTCTGAAATTCTGGCCCTGTTGGAGAAGTCGCTTGCCAAGGACCCCGAGGCCAGAGCACAGCTGCTGGCATTGCTAAGCTGTTGTTCACAGGTGTGTTTGCTGTATGCCAAACTGGGCCCAGTGAAAGGAAAAGAGAGGCTCTTTGTCCTTTTTGCAACAATAGCCCTGGAATTTTTTCCCACCTCTCAGCCTGGCTGGACTTCTCCTGAGGTTTTTGGTGGTCCCCACAGAAGACCCTCACCTGTTTTACAAGCACCGTGACAGACAGACTGAGATGGGAGAAGCCTCTCCCTCAAGGACTGAGACACGAAACCCCCATGTGAAAAGCCCTCCCTGTTCTTTCCAAGGACTGGGACTGAAACCTCCAACCCAGGGGAGGTGTGTGGGGGAGGCAAGCTGACCAAAGCAGGATGGATGCTGCAGGTGCAAGCAGTGCACCAAGAGACAATGGTTCTCACCACTGCTGAGAACATGGACTGTGTGTACCCTTCTTCAAATACCATTTTTCCCCAGAAAATACAATAGACTACCTTTGATTTGATTTCAAGATTCATCTGTCACTATAGGACATGAAAGAACACAAGCTCACACTGCTGCTCTCAAGGTGAAGAAAAGGGGAAGTTTATTTTCTGCCTCCAACATTTATAGATTTCCAAAAGTGGCAGTGGATTGGAGGGTGACAGTGCCACCTCTCCAATGACACTGGACAGACCAACAGTCTATCAAATTTCTCCTCCTCCATAAAGGAATGCAAAACAATGAGTTATTTACAGAAAGTGCGTGAGAAAGTTCGCTACAAGAATGTAAACATCGGAAGGCTTAGAAAATCTTAGAAAATCAGGGTGACAACTCATCGTCTTCCTCCATCAAAAAAGAGTATAATAAGGGTTTCAATAAACTGGAACCATGAGATCTCCCTGGATGTGACCTGGTGAATTCCATCAGCTGGACATTGAAGGACTTCACCATTCTACATTTGGTAGCTATAGACCTCCCTTTCTCTTCCTCCCTCTTTTTCTTATTCTTCCCTTTTTCCCCAATTCCTCCCCAACACATTTTGCTGTGGTCATTCAATAAAGGTGCACTGGTTTTTGATTAATTCAAGTTTCCAGGATGGTTTCTACAATTCTTTCTAAATAAACATCAGCTCTTGCCTGTCACCACTGAGTCAGAGATGACAGCAGTAGGATCAGAAGGCAAAGTGGCAAAAAGCCTCATTTATTTCATCCTCTCTTCTTTTATAAATTAGTTTGCTACAGGTGGACCTGATTGGTCATTTAATCAATACATTTCACATGACTGGCTAATTAACAAGACACCCATTTATAAACAATCTCATGAGGAAAACAGAAAAACAGATTATTAGAAAAACACCACCTGCATGTTGTTTTAACATTTGGCTATCATTGTTTATCTCCAGCTCCCTAATGCTTTCCAGGCTCATTCTGGGAAAACTTATCCAGCTTTCTCTGATCAGGCTGTCACATCCACACTCACCTCTTATTATAATTAGCTGAATGTCCTTTATGGCTGTGCAATTGTCCCCTTTAATTGGGTTGGTGGGCTTCTGAAGAGGAAGTAAAACCTCTTCCTCATGCTAAACTCTTCACCTGTGTCAAGCTGGCAGGGCTCCTTGGCCTGCTGGTCACAGTCCAAACCTCCTCTGATTCTTAGAAACCAGTGTATTTATGGTTCCTGCACTCTTACAATATTAATATATCACCTGTTATTCCCAACCTTGTTTCAGTTATTCAATTCATTCCCTTGCTAAGCTCTATATGATCTTTGCTAACTACATTTCTAACTTAGCCCCTAAATTAATTTAAGCTCTAAATTAGACTATATATCTATTTTTTACTATTTTAGCTACATTCCTAGCTCAACCCCTTGACTCACAAAGAGAGCTCTGGACATGTAGCTCATGGGCTCTCCTGGAAGGGGCTGACAGCTGCTGTGTGAGCCAGGGACAGTCACTTGGAGAAGAGGTGCTAAGAGTCCCTAAAAGGAATTCTATCAAGGTGGTTGATATGGAAACTGAAAAGAAGAAAAGATAAACGAGAGGGGCTGCAGTTGGACATGGCTGAAAACAGCAGCAGAGACCACTGTGTGCCAGCGAGCACTGTGTGGGTTTGTTGTGGCAAATGAATAAATACAAAATTTCTGAGAAGGTCTAACAGACAGCATGCTGCTAGAATAAACAGAGAGGAGCCTTCTGAAACGCATGGTGCTGTTCTCTGGGTTGTGACTGTCTCAACAGTGACAGGTTCCGACAGCACAAGGATTTGGGGTTATGGAAACACACCTGGGACAGCAGCAGAGCCACTGCTGCTCCATGGCTGGAAAACCAGTGAGGCACATCCTCCTCACCACTGAATTTTCACCCTGACTTCTGCTGTCAAAGATCTTCTTCAGGCAGATTCCTCCCACCACACAGGACCTCTCTGAGGTTTGCAGGTTTTAGGACCAAAAGAGGGCTCTGGGCTCTCAGCACAGGACCTGGAGCTGCTGGAGAGAGCCCAGAGGGCATGGAGATGCTGCAAGGGCTGGAGCCAGGCTGGGAGAGCTGGGGGTGCTGACCTGGAGAGGAGAAGGCTCCAGGGAGAGCTCAGAGCCCCTTGCAGGGCCTGAAGGGGCTCCAGGAGAGCTGGAGAGGGACTGGGGACAAGGGATGGAGGGACAGGACACAGGGAATGGCTCCCAGTGCCAGAGAGCAGGGATGGATGGGATATTGGGAATTGGGAATTGTTCTCTGGCAGGGTGGGCAGGCCCTGGCACAGGGTGCCCAGAGCAGCTGGGGCTGCCCCTGGATCCCTGGCAGTGCCCCAGGCCAGGCTGGACATTGGGGCTGGAGCAGCCTGGGACAGTGGGAGGTGTCCCTGCCATGGCAGGAGGTGGCACTGGATGGGCTTTAAGGTCCCTCCCCAACCATTCCATGATTCTATGAGTTATGATATAAAATAAAAGTGAAATTTGGAGAAAGTTCCTCTCTCTGTGCCTCCCAAATCATCAGCAATGCCATGAGCCATGACACACCCATGTTGGACACCCTGCTAACCCATCCCACCCTGGTACATGCCCACACCCACTATGGACCAGGGGTGATGATATTACCAGGATCAAGGAAAGGATTATTGCTTCAAAGATTCCAGAGGAGATTTTATGCGTGACAATTCAAAGAAAACACGGAGTTAAGCTTCATACCTTGACTTAATCACCAATATTCAAAGCAAGCACCCAGCAACCAGGATCTACTTTACTTCAAAAATGCAACTGATGTGGCCAGTTTTTAGGTACATCTGATTTTTGGACATTATTGACCACCCAGACAAGGCATCTTGAAGAGAAATAAACTGAAGATTCAGCCAGAAGCAGAACTACAAAGACCTAAGGGTTCCAAGCACTGCCACAAAGCCACAATACCAGTCAGAGCTGATGGTGTTAAGTTTTAAACCCAGCTCATATCACAAAGGAGTGTGGGGTTTGATCCTTATTTATCAAGATTAAGAGATAAAGCAAAGTACATGAATAAACAAAAAATGCAGCAAGTGAAAACAGAAGGAAAGGGGAAAGACTGATCTCAGGTTTGAGAAGAAGCCAGAGCAAGTTCCTCCCAGCTGATGGCCATCAGGAACAAACCCATCAGGTACACATTAATCCCAGAAAAAGCCAAAACACACTTGTTCCAACACATTAACTGTACCTCATTCCATACCCCTGCTAGGATCCTAATGGTGCTGCAAGTCCTTCCTCTCCCCTTCTCCAGCAGAGATTGCATCATCTGATTTTACAAACAACACATTGCAGGGACTCAGAGACAAGGCAGCAGAGCAGGCCAGGGCTCCAGCAGAGCAGCATCCATCTGACAGGGAGGAGAACACGCTCTGTGTGCAACAGCCCAGCCCACAGCACGAGGGGCAAGGACTCCTCAGTGCCCAGCTCCAGCAGAGAGGAGCTCTGGCTCCAGCCTGGGACAGGATGGGGTGTTTGGAAGGGCTCATTCTCCTCTGTGTGTTCTCCCAGCAGGCAAAGCTGCTCCTGTTTGGAAAGCACAGCTGGAAGCTGGGATCTGAGCGAGGCCTGCCACCCCATGAGGGAGCACCCAGCTTTAGGCAGGTGAAAATGCCTCTCCCATGCTGGCCCACCCCTGGGAGAGCCAGAGGCTGCTCAGATGTGCCTTAAGGAAGAAGAGGAACCATGTTTGCCAATCTTATGTGATGCTGTAGCACAGAGCTGGCCCAGCACGGACAGCTGGGCTCAGTGGGAGCGCTCTGGACTATCCCAGCTCCAGGGAGCTGTTCTGGAGGCCAGGCCTGGGCCCTCCTGTCACACTGCCCTGGGAGTGAGCTCCTGGCCTGCAGGAGAGCCTGGGACACGTTTGGATCCACACCTTTCTGGGTTTGCCATATGTTTGCTTTCCCAAGCTCCCAGCAAGGCAGAGCAGGATCAGCACACGCTCCCTGCTAGGAGTGGAGTCCTCTTGCCAGAGCAAAGCACAGCTCAGGAATCAAATCAATCAGCAGGAATTTCAGATGGAAAGACACGTCCTACCAAAACCATTTTGTGAGTATTACTTTTCAAAATCATGGGTTTGAGTAAAAGAAGGGCAGATTCAGGTGAAATTGGGAAATGGCTGTATTGAATTCAAGCAGTAAGTGCTCCCTCTGGCCAGCAGCAGCCTGAGCTCCCATGGCAAGGTCCCTTGTTGGGGAAGATGAAACAGGAAAGCCTTATAAATGTGATTATCTGGCAAAAGATTTTGAGAATATAGAAACTATAGGTGAGATTGAAATGAAAGCAAGCTTTGAGATACCTCAGTTACTGAACAACTGGAAAACAATGGTGTGGCCAGCTGAAGGTGATCCCCTTTTGATGGAACAACACCCTCTGCCTGCAGACAGCTCCAAGGATCAGAGCAGACCCTACAGCTTGGCAGACGGGGCTCAAAGAGGAGCTTTTAGGGTTTAAAATGTAACACAGTACGGGAATGTAATGATTCTTATAGGCTGTATGGAAATGCCATAGGATTTGTACCTTGTACTAGATTGGTTAGTGAGAATCAGAATATTCAACACAGAAGAAGATTTATGGTATTGGAACAGGAACCTCGCTCTCTCACCCTTTTTACTCTCTTACTCTCTCCTTCTCTCTGCCCCTCTCTTCTCTCAGCCCTGCTCCAGCTGTGTTTGGCAGCTCCCAGCAGGGCCCTGCCCCCAGGCCCTTTGCAATGAACCCCAAGTTCCTGACCTGGCTCAGAGATCTCTGCTCTCCATCCATCCCAACTGTCCTACCCCTGACGCTCCAACAGTCCCTGTTCCATAAACTCACTCCATAATGTGCCCATGCAGATTCCAGCCTCATTCCACCTGTGGATGCCCAGCACCTTCCTGCAGCACCACAGGGGGATGTGCCCTCTGAGATGCTCTGCTCCTGCCCCCTGGATGCCAAACTTATCTTCCCAACTGTGAAAAATCTTTTATGAAAAATCTTTTCTTTAGGATTTTTCTTCCTGAGAAGCTGGGAGGCCTCAGGAACAAAATGGAAACATTGATTATCTGCTGCTGTGGAATGCAACAGGTAGATCTTTGATTGGCCCATGTTGGTTGTTTCTAATTAATGGCCAATCACAGTCAGCTGGGTCAGATAGAGAGTCCAAGCCACAAACCTTTGTTATCATTCCTTCTTATTCTATTCTTAGCCAGCCTTCTGATGAAATCCTTTCTTCTATTCTTTTAGTATAGTTTTAATATAATATATATCATAAAATAATAAATCAAGCCTTCTGAACCACAGAGTCAAATTCTCATCTCTTCCCTCAACCTGTGAACAGTCTGAACACAGTCACAGTCCATCACTAACTTCTTGCTGTTCTAGTGACATCCAACCCCCTGAACTCAGCCAGTGCTAAAGCTGAAAACCCCTAAAGCTTTCTGGAGGGGAAAGGCACAAACACTCACTCTGATATAAAGGGGAGGGACAGCAACTCCAGCTCCTCTCCTGTCATTGTGCAGGAGATCAGAACTGGAGGTAACTTTACTGGGGTGCTTTGGAAAATCAATTATCTGCTTTTAGAGGGGAAAAAACCTCCCAGGGATTCAATTCCACTTGTCAAACTTCAGCTATTTCCTTTATCCTCCTTGCTGAGAAAGTGTGAGGCTTGCTCACACTCCCTATTCTCCAGGAAGGGAAAAAAAAAAAAAGCTGTTTGACAAAATAATCATTTTTGCAAGCTGCTGCACTGGCGGGACAGAGGTCTGGGATTTGGCAGAGGGAAGTGCCCGCCTTCCAATCTGATCCCAGCACCAGAGCAGAGCACCACCTGCAGCCTGGTGCCCAGTGTGGAAAGGAGGAGGGAAGGAAGCAGGAGCCATTAGAGACTGGCTCCTGGCCATCCCACGTCTCCTTTGGTGCACTGGATCAGACCCCACAAACGACTGGCCAAAAAAAGGAAATCTAAAAATTGGACTCAAAGGGTCTTTTTAAGCACTTTAATCCTTTTGCACTGCCTGTTCCCAGAGCGGCCATTCCTGGCAGCAGACACTGAGCTGGGAAAATCCTACTCCCCAAGCCAAGGAGTTAAAGAGAAAGCTGCTAATCAGCTAAATAGAAGCTGGAATCTGTTCATATGAAAGTCTCTTTTTTTCTCTGTCACCTGAGGGACATCACAGTGTTCCCAAATACACTTTTGACATCATTTGGCAGCGGGGCCCATCTCATCCTCCATGATTCATCCCTTAGGTTATTTTTTTAATATCAGAAAGTGAGCTTTTAAATGCCAAACTCATTTTGCGGGTGGCGGTGGGGAAGTGGAAGAGATTCCAAGTGGTCTCGCTGGGCTGTGCACCAACTGCCTCCACCAAATGGCTCAGAAAGCTCCTCTTCCCATGGAGCTTCCCAGACAAAGCACACTGACAGCCACATCCAACTATTACCTAATAGTTTGTTCCTCAGCTTGATGGAAACACGAGAGGAGAGAGCGATTCCAGCAGGGCCAGATGCAGGACAGGGAGCTGGAGGTGGGGATCACTCACCTTCTGTCCTTGTTGCCTGCCACCAGCATGTTGGGGGGGCTGCTGTGGAGGTTGACACATGAGAAGGCACCCATGGAGTTGCCCAGCTTGGTCACACACTGGTTTGTTTCCAGGTTGTAAAGGAGGATCTGGCAGAGAGGGAATAAAACACCACATAATTCAGCAGGAGCACTACGACAAGGTTTTGCTGCCCCACAAAGCAGAGCTGTGATCACCTGAGGGGTTCTGCAGGATTTGTTCCTTGATGTGTAAAACAGCACCAAGAGACAGATCTACCCCTGTGAAGAAAGGCAATGACACCTGTAGCCATGATATTTTCTGAAAAATCCTTTCCTTAGGATTTTTTCTGCTGAGAAGCTGAGAGGCCTCAGGAATAAAATGTAAACAATGATTATCTGCTGTTGTGGAATGCTACAGGTGCATCTGTGATTGGCCTCATGTGGATGTTTCTAATTAATGGCCAATCACAGACCAGTGGTTTCAGACTCACTGGTCAGTCACAAGCCATTATTATTCATTCCTTCTTTTTCTATTCTTAGCTAACCTTCTGATGAAATCCTTTCTTCTATTCTTTTAGTATGGTTTTAATATAATATATATCATAAAATAATAAATCAAGCCTTCTAAAACATGGAGTCAGCATTCTCATCTCTTCCCTCATGCTGGGACCCCTGTGAACACCAGCACAGACACCCTCAGAAATCAGGAATTCAGGTTTCCCAGTGGGATCCAACCATAAGCAGGGATGCACCCCCAGAATGGCCAGGCACAGCTCTCAGGGAAACCACAGGTGACATCTTTGGGGTTACAGGAAAAGCAAAGGGTTCCCTCATCAATTTTAGTGCTTGAGAGAGCAGTACAAGCAAACTGCAGCAGCCCTGAGGAGGTTTGGACAGATGGACAGTGAGAGGCAGATCTGGTCAAGTGCAGCAGGAACTGCAGGGCAGAGCTGAGCACACACTGAGAGCCTGGGTGCCCTCACACACACACACACACACAGAAGTGTCACATCTGAAGTGGCAGCTCAGATGGGAAAAGCAGAAAAACAACTCTGATTTTAGGCAGCATCTGAGATGATTCAAGCAGAGCCTGGATGAGAAGCACGAGTTGTTCCCTGTCCGCTCCCACTCCTCTCCTCCATCAGTTTAATCACGTTTGCTGTCCTTCCTGTGGGGCCACATCTGATCTGTCTGCTTGGGCCTTTCAATTTAGGAGAACAAATATTTTTAGAAACAGAAAACGCACTGGTCAAAGCCCAGTGGAGCTCGGTGCTGCACCTGGCCTTATATAACTTCATAAACATGATTCAATTTCATGGTATTGCTTGTTGAAATGAAAAGAGACCTTGTGACCACGAGAAGAGTTAATGGTATTTAAAACACCAGAAAAACCCCACAGCTTCCATGGCAACATCAGCATGGCCATGTCGTCATCACATCAATATTATTTACTTCTAATTTGCTGATTATAGCCACGTGCAGCTCAATAAATATTGCACTATCTGGATGGATTATTTCAACATTTGCCAGAACAGCAGCGCTGATGCTGCCTGGCCTTTTATTTCCTATCTGTGCCATTTTGGAGATCTGAAAGGTGAATTAAGAGAGAAGGAGAGGATCATTTTGTGATGGAGGCCTCTGGGCAACCAAAGTGAAGCTTTAAAGATCTCAAGGAACAGGGCAAAGAGAGACAGAGAATTTGCAGGTTTCCTCCACCTGCCATTCTCCTAGGCAAATTCAGCTCCCTATTAGGATCAACACATCCACATCCAACTTCCTTAGGTGCTCCTAAGATTTATAATCTCCCAATTAATTCTTTGTGAAGCTGTCTCAAAAAACATGGCATTTTTCATCCTTAAGACCCAAAAAAACAAAGCAAGGATGACCTTTGTAGGAAAACCTAGGACATAAAAGTTAAATTTAAATAAAAATTCATTTAAACTTCCACCCCAAGGAAAGAGCTGCTACAAACTGCATGGCAATGTTAGTGTTTGAGGTAAAAACCAGTTTACAGCCTGTTCTCACTTCAGCCCAGCTCCCAACAGCTCAGTAACCAAACCCACAGATAATGATGTTCTGGCAAAGGCACTTCGAAGGGTTCTCAGCGCTAAGGAAATTAATATCTGTGCCTGGCAACCCAAACTTCTCCTTGGAAAGTTTGGAACAAAAGACAAAGGCAATAAAGTGCTGAATTCAGCTGAAGAAAGAACTGACAGGGTCAGGAGCAATGCATTCCAGCTCCCAGTTGGGCCCTTCCCAGCTGGATGTTAAACTCCAGAGGGGAGAGGGCCAAAAGCTGCTTTCTTAAAAGTCCCCTGGGGCTGATACTTGCAGTGAACATCCATAAACTATTAATTTCTCTAAATGACCAGAGCTCCCATCTCTGCTATAAACATAGGATACATATTTGAACATCCAGCCATGGCCATGAAAGGCTGGAATGAAAAATTGCACCGAAAGATTCCCATGGAATGTTTTCCATGTTACATTTGCTCTGCCTGCAGGCCCGTGGCAAAGCTCACAGGTAAAAGCAGCTGGGAAAAAAATTTACTTCTCCTCACATAACTTGAGGGTGGCCTGCAATTTAAAGTGTTTGCACCTAAGAATCTGTAAAAAAAATAAGGGTTCACACCCACAAAAATGGAAGAAAAGCTTGTATCATCTTCTCCTACCCCCTTCAACCCCTTCTCATGCCTATCTCTATTCTTTTAAAGATTGTTTATTTTAACCATCAATCTTGATATTGATTTAAATTTATTTTAAATTTTATCATGCACAAATGTCTTTCTAACCAATTAGTCCCATCACTGGAAGAGTCTCTGTGATTTTCAGTAGCCAGGTTTTGCCTATCTTGAAATTCAACCTGTCTTGAGCAGTTCCATGACCTGCAAATGAATTTCAAACCCTTATCCTGACCAATTGATAAGTAAAGAAGCTAAAAGCACTCAGAATGCTTAAGTCTGAATAATAATTTCCTGAAGACAGGGATTTAAGAGCACACTGATGACAATTCTGAAGTTGCTGGAACACCTCTGATGAGCTCTCCTGTAATATCCCAAGGCAAGAAGGATTTTCCTTACAAAGGCCAAGGAGAGAGAATGGAAATACCTGGTCAATAGGGACTTGAAATAAGGGCCTGTGTGTTAAAGGGCAGATAAAGCATAAGATCTCTGGGAGGTTTATAATCCTATAATGCACACTGCAAAGGGATTACCCTTTTAAAGGTATTTATAATCCTATAATGGACACCCAAGCCCAGTGACCTAATAGGTACCGAAGCGAGGGAAGTGAACCAAGAGCATTTGGGTGTGAAATGAAGAACCCTGGGATAACACACTAATGAGCAGCCCTGGCCCCTCTGGGACCTCAGGGAGGAAAAGCATTAAAGACCCCGTGCAGGCAGCACCGGGATCCAACGCCCCAAATAAAAAGTGTCACCTATTAACATTGGCCAAATGAAAAGTCCAAGTTGTTGGCCAAGAGCCAGGCAATCTCCCTGAATGCTTAATAATTCAACAAGCCAGGAATAGCCAGAGCACCTCCAGCATTCTGTTTAGTTAAAGACCACAGAGATTAGCAAACACATTATCCATCTCCGAGGCGATCCCTTCCCTGTTACAAGTCCCTTAACGGCCTTTACCATCCCTCCCTCTCTCTCTCTCTCTTTTAATAAGGCTGAGCAAATGGGACTTCATTTCAGCCCACTGCCACAGACTGGGGGTATTAATAATTCATGCTCATAGTCTCCCCTTTGTTAAGGCAGTGCATTAGACTAATTCCCCTCTTTGCTGGGTGACTTGGGCACAGCTCAGCCTGTGGCTGCTCCTCTGGGAGGGACACACCAGGAACCCAGCCCAGGCACGGGAAAAAAGGCAAAGTTACTGTTCTGCACAGAACTGCAGAGTGCTGGGGCAGGGAGCTCTCTTTAAATGCTGTCCAAGAACTCCTGAAAGATGCCTGAAATGAATTCCCAAAGAATTAAAGGCTCTGGAGCCAGAAGAGCTGAGCTGTGAGCTTTGTTACATCTCGCTGCTAAGTGAGGTCAAGCGTGGTCGATGCACTCTGCTTGAGACACTTCCAAGAAAAACCAAGGAACTGTAGGAAATGCTGCTGATGGAACTCTTCCATGCGTGGCCAAAACCCCAGCAGGTGTTTTGGGATGCTGTGCTGTTGGAGATGTCTTTTTTGGACAGAACATTAAAACAACAAATCCCCGAGCACTTGTTATCAAAGAGCCTGTGGTACTTTCAACAAGAGCTGGGGTGTCCATCCCACTGTCCTGGATGGCAGCCAGCACATGCCTGCTCTGGGAAGAGCTGCTTTCCCTTTCCTTTCCCTTTCCCTTTCCTCTCCCTTCCCAGCCCATTCCTGCCTCCCTTTCCCTTTTCCTTTCCCACCTCCTGCCCACAGGAACAGCGTGGGGCAGCTGGAGGCTGAGCTGTGTCTCAGAACTGGGTAAATCCCTCTGTGTGTTGGTTCTTATTATTCTTATTCTCTGAATTTGGTTCTTATTTAGATGCAGTATTGGAAGGAGGATCACAAATATCAGCAGAAAGCACGTTGTGAAACCACACTCAAACCCTACATCCTTCTCCTCGCTGAACAACACACAGGATCCATTACAGAAGCACTTTTTCAGAAAGAACCATCCAGGATTGAGGTTTCTGTCATTTCAAGTAAAATAAAACCACTCTGAGTTGCTCAGAGTGGTAGGGGATCAAGCAGCAAGCCTCAGGACAGAATTTACATTTATTTTCAGATTATATTTCTCCCCTTTGCTTCTGTCCAGCCCTCTGCCAATTGGAAAAAACATTGCCTGAATACACAAAAATATTGCCAACGAAAAAGGGGCTGTGAAATTCCAAGTCCACCACAAACAAAAAAGGGATCTGGTTTCTGCTCAGGTCAAACCCATCCAATCCAGAGGGTACCTACAAAAGCAGGAACATGCATTGTGGGGGAAGTCATCAAATTAAACACAACATATGGTACACACTGCTGCAAGTTTGGATTTTATATCTAAAGTGATGTGGAAAACAAGAATATTTTTAAAGTTTACAAGCCCCAGGGGCACAGTTTCCCTGTGCAAATGTATTGGATTGCCTACTGTAAATATGGCACATAACGCT